TTTTTTTTTGTGATTGACTTCATTTGTTGAGGATTTTCTTTTTCTTCCTCTTTTTATCTTATTCTTCACAATTATTCCGCATAAAGATATTTCCTTTTTGTGCCCTTAGTCTCTTTCAGCAACAGGTAGATTATGTATGTGGGAAAACAAGATTTACAGGACACAATGGACATTAGTGTATTTACAATTTATGACTGGACCTGGAATGTCTGCACTGTACGTGTCCTCACATTGCTTTACTTTTGCAAATAGACACAGTATCACACTTTTCTGTTGTTTCATGTGCTCAGTTTACCTTGTGCACAAACAGGCAAACTAAAGCTGCTGTACTTTCTGAGTTTGGATTGAAGCAGAGATGGCAGAGCAGCACTCAGAGGCTCCCGCTGTTCAGGTCTCTCATCATGTCTTAGGCCTTCATTTCAATTATCCACTTTGTTTAAGGTCATTTTTGCCTCTAGCTTTAAATGAAGACCTCATATTCTTTTGTTTTCATCCTTTTTTCCCTCATGTTTTGATTTCCTCCTAGAATGATGAGCTCACATGCATCCTTCTGCTCCTGCCTCTGACTTTCCATTTCTCATCTTTCCCCTTATTGATTGCTCTATGTGTCTTTATTTCACCGTCTCTGTCTCCCTTCCTCCCTCGGTCTTGTTTTTCCATAGGTGAGGGAAGAGGGCTGGAGCGAGCAGTGTGCTGAAAGTTAAAGTCAGCAAGTGATTACTTTCCAAACATTTATCTGGTGGACTATGAAAGGAATGAACAGCAAATGCATAATGAATGGATATTCCATATCTTTAAAGCAAACCTTAATTAACCCTATTTTGTGTTTCAGTTTTACATACACTTTAGTGTAGAGCTGTATTTTTCGGTTGTAATGTGGTTGTTAAATTGAACATTTTAGTTTCCCTGGCTTTACTTTTTGCTTCCCCTTTCCAGCTTTTTCTTTTACAGAGAAAGAATAAACTGGATTAGACAAAGTGTGGACATCTCTGGTCTACTTATTGACATGATTGTTGTGGAGAGTTCTACTCTGGTTTGTCTTTACAGTTCCACTTTGCAAGAGGAAATTTGGAAGTGGCTTGAATGTATGAATGCTTTGCATGTTATATACTTATGATTTCTTTGTGTGATGGTAGCTGAGATTTGAAGCCTTCTTGCAACATGTTGCTGGCTCCCTGCCATGTCTTAACATCCTGCCGAGTTTTTATAGCAACATAAACATCTGTTTACTGCTCACAGAGGACTGCTATAAAGCTGCTCCCATTTAGTTAACAAATCTGTTTGTGTGTCTGCTTACTAATGGAGAATTTTAGGCTTATGATGGCAGCAATGAGTCTCATTGGGCCGGTCATACTAATTAATGTTGTGGAAAAAGAAAATCCAGCCATAATCAAAAGGCATCTTCAGAGTTTGAAGGCTAATCTCTGACCCTCCTCTTCAACCAAACTGAGCCTGAACTACAGAAGTTAGTAAATGTAAATGAGTCCAAGTTGATTTTTTCTAAGGTTTTTTCAGTTTACTATGACCTGGAGAATCTGCACAGACATAAATGTAAATGAGTTGTTTTCTCCTCTGTCGAGGTGCTTGAACGTTTGAACAACCCAGCTGGGTTTCAGGCACCATTCAGATCTTTTTAAACTTGCTCTGTGTAAGTCTCATTTTACATTCTCTTGTTGATTTTTCTGTGACTTCTTCTCAGCTTCTGTTAGCACATTGAGTTCTTTGAAATGCAGGAGATCTCCAAACTGATAAATTGATATTTTCATGACATTTTTTCATTAAATAATAGACTTGAAATGCATAACTTCTGCATGATCCATTAGGGGCGCTCCATTTGTGCTTAAATATAGAAAAATATGCCTTATGTTGACTTGCAGTATATGATAACTACATGCTGAGCTCATGAGACTTTTGGACCTTGAAATTATGCTTTTTTTGAGACTGACATCTATTTATTTCTAATGAGTGCACATTTTCCTCCTTTTCATTCATTTCAATTGGTTTCAGATACACTGTTTATATATACAGTGGGTACAGAAAGTATTCAGACCTCCTTAAATTTTTCACTCTGTTATATTGTAGCCATATGCTAAAATCATTTAAGTTCATTTTTTTCCTCATTAATGTACACACAGCACCCCATATTGACAGAAAAACACAGAATTTTTGACATTTTTGCAGATTTATTAAAAAAGAAAAACTGAAATATCACATGGTCATAAGTATTCAGACCCTTTGCTGTGACACTCATATATTTAACTTAGGTGCTGTCCATTTCTTCTGATCATCCCTGAGATGGTTCTACACCTTCATTTGAGTCCAGCTGTGTTTGATTATACTGATTGGACGTGATTAGGAAAGCCACACACCTGTCTATATAAGACCCTTCAGCTCACAGTGCATGTCAGAGCAAATGAGAATCATGAGGTCAAAGGAACTGCCTGAAGAGCTCAGAGACAGAATTGTGGCAAGGCACAGATCTGGCCAAGGTTACAAAAAAATTTCTGCTGCACTTAAGGTTCCTAAGAGCACAGTGGCCTCTATAATCCTTAAATGGAAGACGTTTGGGACGACCAGAACCCTTCCTAGAGCTGGCCGTCTGGCCAAACTGAGCTATCGGGGGAGAAGAGCCTTGGTGAGAGAGGTACAGAAGAACCCAAAGATGACTGTGGCTGAGTTCCAGAGATGCAGTCGGGAGATGGGAGAAAGTTGTAGAAAGTCAACCATCACTGCAGCCCTCCACCAGTCGGGGCTTTATGGCAGAGTGGCCCGACGGAAGCCTCTCCTCAGTGCAAGACACATGAAAGCCCGCATGGAGTTTGCTAAAAAACAGCTGAAGGACTCCAAGATGGTGAGAAATAAGATTCTCTGGTCTGATGAGACCAAGATAGAACTTTTTGGCCTTAATTCTAAGTGGTATGTGTGGAGAAAACCAGGCACTGCTCATCACCTGTCCAATACAGTCTCAACAGTGAAGCATGGTGGTGGCAGCATCATGCTATGGGGGTGTTTTTCAGCTGCAGGGACAGGACGACTGGTTGCAATTGAGGGAAGGATGAATGTGGCCAAGTACAGGGATATCCTGGACGAACACCTTCTCCAGAGTGCTCAGGACCTCAGACTGGGCCGAAGGTTCACTTTCCAACAAGACAATGACCCTAAGCACACAGCTAAAATAACGGAGTGGCTTTACAACAACTCTGTGACTGTTCTTGAATGGCCCAGCCAGAGCCCTGACTTAAACCCAATTGAGCATCTCTGGAGAGACCTGAAAATGGCTGTCCACCAACGTTTACCATCCAACCTGACAGAACTGGAGAGGATCTGCAAGGAGGAATGGCAGAGGATCCCCAAATGCAGGTGTGAAAAACTTGTTGCATCATTCCCAAAAAGACTCATGGCTGTATTAGCTCAAAAGGGTGCTTCTACTAAATACTGAGCAAAGGGTCTGAATACTTATGACCATGTGATATTTCAGTTTTTCTTTTTTAATACATCTGCAAAAATGTCAAATTCTGTGTTTTTCTGTCAATATGGGGTGCTGTGTATACATTAATGAGGAAAAAATGAACTTAAATGATTTTAGCGTATGGCTGCAATATAAGAAAGAGTGAAAAATTTAAGGGGGTCTGAATACTTTCCGTACCCACTGTATGTCAGACATGTCTGTGCTGCACTATGCTCGTAGTATATGCAGTCACATAAATGGAGTGGATATGGGAAAGTAACAGCAAGGCATAATTAACAGCCGAGAGTTTATTGTAGATGTTTAAAATTTTGATTCGATTAATTTGAAACATTTCCGTAATATAAACTTCCCCTATGGGGACAGAAGAATAAAAAAAAAGGTCTGTCACATAGGGCAGGTATCATTATAATAATCTCACAAATACGTTCATAAATACATTACCCACTTATCACATTAACCCAGCTGCCAGCAGCATCAGGCAACTGTTCTCAGCAAACCAACTCTGCTTAAATGCTTTATACAGCCTGCTCAGCACCAAATGGCAGACAGTATTAATAAACACTGAGCAAACTAAAGACTTCAAAAGAGTTTGACATTTTAGAGCTCATTTAAACATGCAGTTAAAATGACAGTAGCTTTTGCAGTTAGTCATCACCCAAAAACTCCAAATTAATGCAAATTGTGCTCTCCTGGATGTGTCCAGTAATCACACTGCGTTTTTTTTGTTTGTTTGGTTTGTTTTGTTTTTTGCTAGATCATTAACTTGATATGATGATAAAATATAAAGGCCCTGTGCTTGCTGGAATGTTTTTGGGGTTGTTTGCCCTAAGTGTTCAAAAACCTAATTAATGCAGCTTTAACTTGGCCTCAAGGAACCTGTGGTAAATTCGGGCCTGGTCTGGTTTTTTCCCCTCACATTTAAGCTTGTGATTCATGAGTTGTTACACATCCGGTGTTAATTTCCCGAGGCTTATTTCACATTTTGCCAGGTCTACTGTTGTGTCTATGGATACAATAGTTAAAGGTTTAGTATATGTGTGCACACGCACAAATTGTGTGTGTAGACCAGCCAGTTTGCACCAGCAGTGGTGGCTTGTTGTCAGTATGACTTTTTTGGTGTGCTACCTGTCAGAGCATGCTTACTCCCTGCTTACTCATGGCTGAAGCATGACTGAGCTCTCCCTGCTGCTGTTCTCACCTAGCCTGCTGGCCTCTAAGAATAGGACTAGTCTGCTAGCTAGACTAATCCACAGTACACTTTTGTTCAGAGTTTTTGGTGAGCTGTGCAGACCAACTAAAGTTCTCTTCTCTCAACAGTGAGTTGACTGGATTGGGTAGATTGTTCTCAAATCTTTTCTTTCTCTCTTTCCAACTAGGACACATCCGCCATATTAGAAAAGTCTCCTTTTTACATCATGCTGGTGGTGGCAGGGGTCACAATGGTGAGTTATGTAAAGAAGTGATGTGATTACTACAGTACAGGTGGTAAGGAGAGATGTATAGGCTAGAGATAGCAGAAGCCTGTATTCATGCCTCAGGATAATTTGCCCTATCTTTAAATCAGAGCTGAGTTGCCACTCCCTTGTTGCAGAACTAGCATAGCCTGAGTTGGCTTTTAAGGTGGTGCAACCCTTTTCTTTCGGTCATTTGTCTTTCCTTGCACACGGTGACATCACCCACTTGCTGGACATCTGAGCTTTGTGGAAGGCTTGATTGGGACAGTATTTGGTTAATGGGTGCAGTAGGTTTCCTGTTTGTGATCTGGGAGTGTTTGGAACATGTGACTGAACAGTGTGTGCACTGGTGGTTTGTATTCTGTAACAAAATACATGACGGTGATTTCCTTCCCAAAGAGCCCATAGGGTGTGTATTCAGACAATGTGGACAAACTTACTCATCACGTTTCTCAAATAGTTATTAGGCAGTAATAAAACAAACCCCATAATGGTGGAGCTGACTGTCTACTTAGTGGGAATATGATGTCATAACTGGGAAGACAATGCAATACATTGTTGTTAGTGCTCTTTTTTTTTAACTATTCCTTTTAATAAATGCTCCTGCATAGTGAACAACTTGAAGACAGCTTGTTTGAAGGACTAGCTGAACTTTTTGTACCTGTATTAAGTCAGACTCCCATAGAGACCACATGCTTCTGACCTAAGAATGACTCTTTGTGAAATTAGTTTCCCCTTCTTGATTTGATAGGCAAATCTTAGAAATGAGTTTGCCCATTCTCCTCTTGAGCAGAGGGAAGATTTTTGTCACTGGGATTGAATGTGTCTGTGTTTTGTCCAAGGAGTTATTAATAAAATTGTGATCATTCACAGAGTACTGCAGCTTTATAGTATTTGTACTATAGAGGTTGGCCAGGAAAAATTGAGTGCAATCAGAATTTGTCTTGATAAGTATTATGAGTATTGGCTGGTTTCTAACTCAAAGGAGTGTGGGAGGTGAGATGCTGTGCAGGTTGCAGAGTTGTGCTGCAGGCCTAGACTGCTGTGAAGGATCTAAATAGTGTGTCCTTTGCAGCCCAGGCACCACTGGGGAGGTCAGGGATTGAATTACAGCTCCTATCGATTATTGTTCCCACCACTGCCCTTCAGAGAGACCAGGACAGGAAATGCATCCTTCGCCCTATGGACTCCTGAGAGGAACAGCTCCCCTATACTGTCTGCAGTCAGAATGGCTAGGTGTCAGACACTGCTCCTGCTTTGTGAATGGAGCTGCTGTGACTTGCTTTGTACATTTAGTTGAGTTGATTTGATCAGTGAGCTCCTCTTTCCAGGAAGTCGGTTAAAATGTAGCTTATTTGAAGTCTTCCACTTACTGTACATCAGTTGTGTCGGACAGTAGCTCTTGGCTCTGATGTTCCCACATGCATATTGTACTTTCCCCAAACAATAAAACCGCTTGACAGAAGATAATCCATGGACTGGTCTATGCATGTTTGTGTATTTTTCTTATAAGGATGATAATATGAACTTTGAATCTATTTCTTGAACACCAGGCTTCTTCCTTCCTCCCACTGCTAAAGTCTGCTGCCTTTCATGTATGCTGAAATAACACTTTGACATTTTTACAAAATACTCATGCTCACTTTTGGGCAGATGTGAAGGTGTCATCAACTTTTGCATTTAACTGTTTCTCAAAGATGCAAACTATTTCTTTATTATGAGATGAATTTTAAATGAAATCTGTTGAACTTTAAAAGAATGAGGCATTGAAATAATCTCTTCGTAATTTATGAGCAGCGTTAAACGGTGTCCAGAGCTTCCAAGATGTCTTCAAATGAAACAAAGCAATATGTAACTGCTGCAAATGTGCAATGGGACTGTAAATAATCTGTGCTTGTTTATTCAAAGATAGTTTCACAGTGAAAGCCTGCATCAGGGTAGCACCAGCCAGGGCTTAACAAAGCATCTGCTTGTGTTGTGTTTGTTTGCAATGAGCTCTGCCTCATTTTGCATAACTTGTGTAGTGGAGGACATGTGACAGAGGCAGAGACTGAAGGCGAGAGAGAAATGAAGACTAAATGAAAAGAAGACAAAGAGCATTTGTCTTCTGCAGCCCTCCTAGTGACGTTCCCCTCAGAATATTTTGTTAACAAACTTAATCCTGTGCTTGACTACAGATTACTCTGTGTCATGTGGATCTGTTTTTAAGTCTCTATGAGGGCAGGAAAACGACCATCAGCACAAGATTACAACATCTGATGGATCAGGCATGATGTCATTTGGTCATTTTGTGTAAAATTATGCCTGGTAGCTTTCAGACAGGGGGGTGATGTAATGCCTGTGGACTCACTGGGTGTGAACAGCTAGTGTAGATGAGTTGTGGTAGGTATGCCCATGATGTGAGATTAAAAACTGGTAGAAAGTTCTAGTAACACAATGTCAGGTTGTCCCTTGGTATGATCTTGTGCACTATCTAAACATGCATCATATTCTTTGGTGAGTACAGTTTACTTAGTTTTGAAGATGGGGGTATATGGTGCATATAATTTAGAAATATATTTTTATTATTTTGGGGCAGAGATCTGAATAGATCTGAGTAGGATTACTAGGTGTGGTGTGTGTGTGTGTGTGTGTGTGTGTGTGTGTGTGTGTGTATACACCCATGTTCTGTGTACCCTCCCTTTTTTTTCTCTTTCTCTTCCATCCTTCCATTCTTTCTTTTCCCTCCTACTGCAGTCAGGGATGACGCAGTATTATTGCTGTGGAGCTTACAGGAAGTGTCGTTTTTATAGGCCAGTGGAGAGGCAGCACAGTAGCAGCTCTGACATGCGTATGCATCACTGAACCACAGCCAGGGAACACTCGCAGCATGTTGATGACATCACCAACCCCCACACCGTGCTCTTGCTTCCTTCTGTTTGCTGTTAAAATGAGCTCTCTCTCACTCAGAGAGAAACAAGCAGGCATCAAAAGAACAAGTGCTATCTGGGAAGGGGAGGGGCCACGCACGAGCAAATGGAGAGGGAGAGAGCTGTGGGGGAGGCGGAGGGTGGCTGACAGTGCTAGCAGGCTAGGAGAGAAGAGGAGACGGGAATATTGCAGTGCATTGTTAAGACTTAGTGTTGCTGTTCTGCTGTTGTTTTCCCTCCTGTCCAGAGCAAAAGTTCTCACAAAGTTTTGTTCTTTGCCTTTTTGGATTTTTCTGCACTGAACTGGGAATAAGAGACTCTGTGGATTAGCAAGGGGGCAGTGAGCACAGAGGTGGAATGTTTCTCTAACTCGTCAGGCTGTGTTCTCTCTCCTCTTCTCCTTGTGCAGTTTTACTCTTCAGCAAACTAGGAAGCAGAGAAAAACTAGCAGCACTTCTCGGAACTCTTTCCTCAGCAGCTGCTCACTGAGTTGTTCGGGATGCTGCCTTTAACTAACACCTGTGGAGGGTAGTGACGTGAGAGGTAGTGAAGTGTGAGAGGTGTAAAGACTTTTAATCATATTAGGGGTTTGTATTTTCATGAAGAGTGGAACATTAGGTTTTTGTGAAATGAAAGTGACAGGACGCTTGTAAAATTTGTGCCTTCTGGTGAAACCAAATTTTTGGGAGCCGCCATGCTGAGCCTGCAGGATTCTGTCTTCTTTGAGATCAGCATCAAATCTTTCCTCAAGTCTTGGAGTAGCAGCTGTAAGTACCTTGTCAAGCCTCTGTTGTCTCTAGACAACACTTGTAGATTTGTCTGTCACCGCACTTGTACATTTCCCATTTCCTCCCTGTATTAAAAAAAAAGTGGTCAGGTTGACCAGACTTGTATGCAGGGAGCAACAGTGGAGTCTCTTTCTCCAGCTGAGTCTGTCCTCCTCCTGTTCATCATCATTCTACTGGCTCTTGGTTGTCCCATAAATAATATTTCTTTTGATGAGCATCTGCTGAGGCAGGTGGACTTGATGCAGTCTGTTTCTCTAAAGGCACTGGCTGCTTCCAGCTTTTTGTTATAACTCTTTCCATCTTTGTCAGCTTTGCTTAAATTTTATTTTACATCCAGATGTCTCTCTTTAGTCTCCCTTAGCAGTACTGATCAGTGTATTCATCCCTCTCATTTTCCCTCATACTTTTATAACCATCCTCTCCCTTCCCTCTGGGGCAGCTAATGTTTTCATACTATTGATCCATCTCCTGGTTCTCTCCTATTATTAGCTATGCTCATACAGCCCATAGTACATCAGGACTCAGAAAGTCGCTGCTTCTTGAGTCTCCCTCAAATGTGGAGATGGACAAAGGTGAACAGCAAGCAGCAGTCTGAATGGCTCTGCTGCTGTTGCTGATTCATCATTCCAGTGTTGCCTGCATTATGAACTACACACAGACATAGCACTGTTACTTGTACATCTTGGCCTTAAACACTTTTCTTCTTGGCACAGTTTAAATGCAGTTTACAATAATAACAACATACATTTTATCTGTGCTTGTGTTTACGTTTAGACTGTGGACTACAGCTTTAATGATGCTTTGTGTTTGAGTGTGTGTCTGGTGTGAAAAACTGAGCTCTTAACTAGGCATGCACGATATGAGGAAAATCTGCAGTATTCGTTAGCGTTATTCAGGATGATATGACTTGCGATAAGTACTGAGGCGTGCATATTAGCTATACAGTTGGTCTCCTTGCATTAATAGGTACAGTGCTAAAAAAGCACACTGCTAACTAACATGTAACCTGGTGGAGTTTCCACCAAGCTAAAGGGTCTGTTCAGCATATTTTACACAGTACCTCTGTAACATATCATTTCTGAATTCAAAGTAAACAGCAGAAGTTCTTTGTCATCACAAGGCCTTCATCAACCATTTTCCTCACTCTTCTCTTCTTCCTCTTCTCCGAGAAATAGTTGGAGATGGCTATGCGCTGCACTCTAATAGGGATGACCAAACAAAACAAATGCACATCTGAAAGCCACTCATGCATTACCATTAGTCTTTTCTTTTGTAAAAGTAGACCCCAGTGTTTGAAACCACTTTCAGTGAAGCACCAATCTCACCTTTATGTGGCTTGTCCTAGTGTGTTTTCCAATGACCCACTTCAACTGGTGAAGTGACACTGACAACCCAACCATGACTGGGGATAGTACTGTATGTGTTTGCAAGTTGGATGTGAATGCATGGCACGTGTAAATAAAATGATTGTTCTCAATCGTCACATTTCAGGCAGTTGTCTGCAATGTGTTTGTATCGCAATAATATAACTTATTGGTCAGTGCTACTGTTTGGGTTACACAGACTACAACACCCAGTAATATCTTTAGCATTTAATACAGATGGTGAGATTACAGTTTAGCTCTTTATTGTTAAATTGATTTTTGATTCATGCTGGAACATGCCCTTATGCATATTGGTTTATCTATCTATCCATGTGTATATAAGATTTTATTTAGAAGTGGTAATGGTGAAGAACAAACCAGTAGTAACTCGTCAGAAACTGAGCATGTTGAGACACAATAGTAGAATTGGTACTGCCACACCACATGAACATTGGCAGGGATCCTTTTGTGTCATGGCCCCCAAATGGATGCACTTACAACCCTGCATTCCAACAGTATGTGAGTGGTTGTGCTGTTGTTTCTGGTTGTCCTGACAGGGGAAGTGAGCAGTCGTTTAGGAGGGCTTTATTTTAACTGCGACAAGGTGGAGTCACTGCTCTAATAGTTGTGTAATCCTGCGGGTGTTCTGTTTCCTTAGCACAACCATGGAACTCTGGCAGAGTGCGGCTTATAGGCCTCTCACAATAAAACATAAGCATTTTCTTATCTTGCACTTTAGCAGCAGCATGTCAGTTCTTTCAGACCTGAAGTTGCAGTGCTGTCTATCTTTTTAGCCAGAATGTTCTGAATCCCTTAGATACCAATGTTTTCGTGGGCACAAAAGACTTGGATTTCAGATTTTTCAGGCTAAGTCAGATGAAAAGAAAACTTTGTTTCAGTTCATTCGAAGTGCCCCCCCCCCCCTTAAATACAATAAATACAGCACAGTCAGTAGATTCAGCCACAAATTCATATTATGTTTATGAGGTAACTTTGAATTAATTAATAATATAATCTTTCCCAGTTTCAGGACTGTATAGTGCCTATAAAAAGTATTCACCCCCTTGGATGTTTTACCCTGTTATTGATTTTATAAATCAGTCATGGTCCGGTGTAATTAGGCTTTTTGTTTTTTTTTTGTTTTTTTTTTTTTGACAAAAAAAAACTCCTTAATGTCACAGTGAAAACAGGTTTCTTCAGAGTAATGTCAATTAAATAAAAATATGTAATGGGAAATAAGTGATATATACATAGAAGTGCATAAATTCATCCCCTTCAAGTCAGTATTTAGTAGATGCCCCTTTGGCTGCAAATCAGCACTGAGTCTGTGTGGATAGGTCTCAGTCAGTCTTGCACATCTGGACACTTCAGTTTCACTCCATTCTTCTTTGCAACCCTACTCAAGCTCTGCCAGGTTGAGTCTCTCCCATCTCAGCTGTTGAAGCTTGTATCTCCTTCAGTCATAGGTGTCTTGGTGGCCTCTCTCACTAGTCTTCTTCTTGCACAGTCACTCAGTTTGTGAGGACGGCCTGATCTAGGCAAATTTAGACATGTGCCACGTTCCTTCCATTTCTTGATGATGGATTTAACTGAACTCCAGGGGACGTTCAGTGCCTTGGAAATGTTTTTATATCCATCCCCTGACTTATACTTTTCAGGAACCTTTTCTCTGAGTTGCTTGGAGTGTCCTTTTGTCTTCATGGTGTAATGGTAGCCAGGAATACTGATTAACCAGTGACTGGACCTTCCAGACACAGGTGTCTTTGTACTACACTCACTTGAGACACATTCACTGTGATCCCCATTTCACTAATTGTGAGACTACTAGCACCCATTGGCTGGGCCTCTGTTCAATTAGGTCAGTCATTTTAAAGACGGTGATTATTTATGCAGTGACTAATTTTCCATTATATATTTTTATTTAATTGACATTAGGTTTGTAGAAACCTGTATTTTTTTCGACAAAAAAGCCAAATTATATTGGCTATGATTGATTTTATAAAATCAATAAAAGGGTAAAACATCCAAGGGGGTGAACACTTTTTATAGGCACTATATTTGGCTTTCCTTGAAGCCTTAAAGCATGCAAAGCATGCTTTAAGTTTTGCATTCACATTTGACTGGGAAATGAAAGGTGTCCTTAAGGTCACAAGTCAGTAAAGATTTAGTCAGTACAATTCCTGGCCCAGAACAGGGAGAAGTTTGTAAGTGACTCTGAAGCTGTTTGATGTATTTTTGAAGTATTCTGCAGCGAGGTCAGTTTTTGAAGGAAATCATGGTTTGGCATGCCACAAATGACTGGCATGTCCTAGTGAGAAAGAGAAGGAGGGAGGTCAGTGCAAAGATGGCCCTGAAAAAGATATTAGTTTTCCTCACTCAGTTTTCTGTTAACTGAACAAGTACAGTGTTGGGGTATTCATTTGTGTGAACTGGTCAACAATCCAGCTGGTTCAGGGTGGGAGAGAAAAGAAGGATGGAGGGGGCAGAGGACACAGCACTGATTGGCTATCAGGAGCTGGCTATGTGATGTCCTCGGGGGTGTTGGTGAGGCATAGTAAACAAAGAGGGAAGTGCTTGAAAGGCTTTGTGTGCTGGTAGACAACATGGCCACAACACAGCTAACATTTGGTGCTGTGCTGCCCCTAAAGCGCCCCACCCCCAAATATATTCTGTGCTGTTAAACAGCATGATTATTAAATTATGATTAATGTAATCATAAGAACAGATAAAATCTTCATAAGGCCTAACATCAACACAATGTCAACTTAACCAGGACAGAGATTGTGTTTGAGCTCAGAAGCTGACAACTACCCACTCAGAAAAACTGTGATTTTGTCCACTGACCATGTCCTTGGATAAATTTTATCTTCCATTTTTATTGTTCTCTGGTCATGGCAAATTCCTATGAAGGAAGATGAGCATGTAAGCTGGAGTGAAACACTCAATGTTTCTTAAAGAACTGAAGTTTCTTTCTGATGCAACAAAAATTGTCATCTTCTTGGGATTTTGTATTTTGGTCCAACTGTGTTCATCAGTACTTTAAACCCTGGTCTCTACAATTCTAAAGGACCTAATTTCCTTTGCTAATAAATAGGCCAATGATTTAATGATGGCTTCATCCTGACATGAACTAGTAAGGTCTGCTCGTCGTATCCACTAAGTCCAACAGCATTAGCTGACCTGAATCCTTGGCTTTCTCTTGCTTCTTTGACATTGCCTTACAACCCAAGGGGAGACAATACTGTTAAGTCCAATGCCATGGTAACTTTAACAACACACAAAGACCATATTGTGTAACGCTTGCCATTTCAGGGCTGGCAAACTAACTGCAACCTACTCACTCTTTTGTGACAACATCTGCAGGATGATGGAGGCAAAGGTGGGTGAACAGGTTGGCGGTATTGTTCCTTTTTGACTAACTGTTGATCGGCACTTCCTGCAGACTGGAGTGCCTAACACCCATCTTTTTTTATATAGAATCTGAAAAAATTCCCACACTGGCAAGATAACTCTTTTCGGTAGCAGGTAGAGTGTCTGGCTCTCGTCTTTCATTTCCTCCAACATGGTTTTGCGCAGTAGTAGTTGCCACGCACTCTGGTAGGGTAGCTACCTAGCTAGTTACTGTATGGTGGTTTTCTCCCCTTTTTCCCCATTGGGTGGCAACTGGTGTTAAGGTGCCATACTGCCACCTTCTTAGTTGGCTTGTCAACCAGATAGTTACTGGCTCTGCATTATTTACAATATTATCATATGTATATTATTAATACTATGCCCCTAATTGCACATTTAATTCTACATTTAATTAAGTAAATGTAATAAAAATGATGGTATGGTCAATTCAAACTAAAATGCTATTTCATATTGACTGGGAACTATTTGACAAATATGGGAATTATTAAAGAAGGTAGCCACTGACTGTTGATCTGAGGACCACACTCCACTTTCTGCTGGATGCTTCTGCATAGATGGATAGATAATCTTTATTGCCACTGTAACATGCACAATAAAAATTTAAAGTGACCGCCAGTCAGTACAGCAATAAAAACGTATAAAATAAAAACATTTAAAGACGTAACCACAAAAAAATAAATAAATAAATAAACACACACACACACAGGCTTATTATATTTTAGCAGCATTGAGTGTGGTAACTGCTGTTGGGTAAAAACTATTGAATCTAGTGACCCTTGATTTGATTGCTCTGAACCATCTACCTGACTGCAGCAGTTCAGAGAGTGAACATCCAGGGTGTTTTTGAGGCAGCAGGAACTGTGTAGTTCTTCCAGAGTGAGGAGAGGGCAGCCGACAATCTCCTGGGTCGTATTAATGACCCTCTGGAGCATTTTCCTCTGAGCCTCTGTGCTGCTGCTGTACCATACACATATACAGTATGTAAGGATGCTCTCACCGATAGGACACCAGCAGTCTCTGGGAGATGTTGTTCTTCCTCATCACCCATAGGAAGTACAGTCTCTGCTGGGCCTTTATAAGCAGCATAAATAACAAAAAAAATAAATACACTTGTTTTGAGCATGCTATGAATAGCTGATTTCTACTTTGCAAACAATTAGCAGTTTTTGTTGAATGTATATACCTTTGTGTTCATTGTACAGATTTAATATGGTGCCACCTAAGCATATTTAATACATTCTTTGTTGATCAGAAAGCTCTCTATGACGGGTGTGAATGTTTTTTTTTCTCTGATGAAAAACCTATTTTTCCTGCACGCCTGCCCCTGTGGTATTCAGACTATTCAGAAAACACAAGTGTTTCTGTGACAACCAGGAAGAAACTGATCAAGGCTTTTCCTGGGAGGGAATGAGGTAAAGGGTCACTTCACTACTGGCTGACCACTTGGTTAAACTGGAACTATTGTGGGCTAGACTGGAAGTTGTGTCCCAACTGTAAGCTGTAAACCATAGGAGCTTGGTTTATTGTTTTGAAGCATTGTGCCTTTGAATACACAGCAGCCTGGCTTCCTGAGCGTACACCAAACTCAAACAAAATTTGAATCAGATGAGCAAATGATCCTTGCCACAAGCAAATGCAGAGAGAGCTCTGGGTTCTCCTACTGACCCTACGTGAATGTTTTATAGAAGGTCAGTCTAAATACTCAAGGCACTCTGGGGCCATTTGTTTTTACAGTGTGAAGTTCCTTACCTCATCAAATGTGCAGTAAAATATTAACTGTTTCTACATTGTTTAGTTTATATACACCAATTCAGGTAATTCAGATGGATCCTTATGATAGCATGATAAATTCCAGTTACTACTTTGTAGTAGTGATCCTGTCCACAGTTGACATTTTACCTTGGACTCATGTAATCCTCCCTCATCACAGTGACTAATTGGGCCAAGAAAATATTTTTGGGGGTTATTGGAAAATAAAAGGCTGAGAACAGTTGGCTGCATTAAACCTTGTTTTACATAGGGGTTGAACCAAGGACGACATGTTTATATTATATGGTCGAGGCCCGTGTGTTAAAACAAACCTTAATTACTATGAAAAAATTCCCACAATAATGAAAATAAACTACAAATGAAGTAATCTTTGATCAACAGTGTATCCATTCTGCATCTGTATCAACCCTCTGCACAGTTGTTCTGTTGCAGCAGTTGAGTTGTGTAGCTGACGTGTAGGGTTGAACCAAGGAAGACACACACTGTACTTGGAAATGTAAAATAAGCTCCCAAACGGAAGCATTACCACACAAGCTTGCTAACGAGCCTCTTGTGGTAATGTTGGTTCAAGTCCCAGTGGCAGTCAATCCTGTCAGTCTTTTCAGTCATCACCTGTGATGGGAAGTTCTCAAAAAGAAGCAGGAACACAGCGAGATTAGATTAAGACCCAGTGCCAGTGAGAATGGTGTAGAACTGTCATTCAGAAGCTAATGAGAGTGGTTGACTCCAGGTATAAAGTCGTAGGGTGTGAACATTTTCCCAAAATGGCAGTGTCTCAGCTTTTCACCTTGTGATTTATGTAAGAGTCAATCATAAACTAACTGAAATTCAAATTAAGAGGTACTCTGAGTTTTCTTTTAAACATTACATTCATTAGTACTCTAACACATCGTATCCTTGTGGTCTAACAAAAATGTTAAATGTGTTCTTCCTTGTAAATGGTATTAAATGTATACATCGATCAGCCATAACATTATGACCACCTGCCTAATACTGTTTACGTAGGAGTCAATGTGGCAGTTGGTTGGCACTCGTGTCACTCTGCAGCTCACTGTGCATCTTCTGTGAATCAATTTGCTTCCACAGTTCTACTGTCAAGAAGAGCACAGATGTGTCTACAATTCAGTGAAAAACTTATGTAAAAGGAGTGAAAACTGTGGTCGTGAGGACGAGTTAGAGAATTTCTTAGACATCCAACAGCCTCCCCATCCTGTTATCTCCACTACAGCCCCTGACTCTTTCTCTTCATAGAGACCAATGGACAGTGTTTCTCATTTTCAACCATTTTAACAAAGATTCAAATAAAATTTTAATCTTTTGAAAAGTACAAATGGAAGTTAAGTTTAATCTACAGTAGATCAACCTCATCGTGTGTGTGTGTGTATAATGTATATATGTAGTGGTAATGTTGTAACCCTGCTTTCTGTCTCAGTGTCCTGAGCTGTGGGTAATAAGTGTTTACAGTTTCTCTTGAAAGTATCTTGGTTTTTAAATGCCAACATGGCATAGCAATATCCATTTACACTGTCTGCGCTTTTCTGTCAAATCTATTTTGCAAGGAAAACATTGTAGTTTGTTCAGACCAACACTGTTGAAAGAGCTTGTCTGTAATTTACTTATTGATTTCGGTTTAAACACAAATATTTAGATTTATAAGAAAGATTTTGATCATTTATGTCAAAGCTCCAACAGGAGTTGCGATTATCCGTGTTTGTTTTTTTATAATGATTTTAGTCTAATGTGAATGTTATGAGTTGAGAATGTTTTGTTTATAATTTTAATCAAATTGACGTTGAATGTTTGCTGTTGCCAGCATTGTCATTTGCTCTTCATTCAATCAATTAGCCTCTTAAAGATGTATCTCTCCTCCTGTTTGGCTTAGCACAAGCATATGACATTACATACTTTACAAGAGTGCTGGCCTTAGAATGGCCTTACTTTAATTCCTAGGGTATTGTTTCCTAACCTCTGCTCTCTGGCCTTTTTCAGCTTCTGCACCAGCCAGCAGCAGCGTGAGTAAACACCGTGCCCCCTCCTCAGTTACTCCCCTTTTGTGGGAGAAACACAACATTGCCACCATGTCGAACATCATCGTTGACCCTGAGCTCAAGCCCGGGGAGTTTGTCATCAAGAGTCTATTTGCTGAGTTTGCTGTGCTGGCTGAGAAGAAGATCGAGATGGTGATGGCTGAACCACTGGTGAGTGCACAGGGTGAAAGCTAGTGTCAAGAAACACAGGAAATGAAATTCACTACACACACCTGGTGTGTCACACAGTGCTCAGATAACCTTTTGTCTTTTGCACCTAACTGCCATGCCTTTAGTCACTTCAGGAAAAACCGACAGATGTGTGAGGGGATTGGCTGGACAGTGACATAATCTTTATTTACCCGAGCGCCATGAATGATAAAATTGTTAATTAGTAATGGATTGGTTTGACTGTTCTTTGACTGTCTTCCATTCATTTCTGCTGACAGAATAATAACTGTAGTCTGACACAACTTTTAACCTCACTGTCTTTCAAGCCCTCATGTCAGCTTATGTACTACTGTAAAACTTATGTCTCTCTCACTTTCTTACTCAACATTGTCTGTCACTTGACTGACAGCAGTCTGCTGTTTATACAAGCACCAGCATTACAGCCATGGCCAAAAATATTGGCACCCCTGCATTTCTGTCAGATAATTAACCTCTTTTCCAAAAAAATTGTTGGGGAGGTGGTGCATTATCTGACAGAAATGTAGGGGTGCCAACATTTTTGGACATGACTGTATATCACCTTGGGTTAGTAACACACTCCTTCTTAATCTCATTGTCTCTTACAGGAGAAACCCTTGTCCCGATCCCTGCAGAGAGGGGAAGATGCACAATTTGACCAGGTCAGTCCAGCCACAGACATGACCATGAGCTCAAAACTGTATCACATATATAGATATATGGTTGTGGCACAATTATTTTTCTGGATCAAAAGCAGTTCTCTCCCATCTCTGTATATGTGTACACAATATTTGAATCTCCAGCTCCACCCAATCAATCCCAGACTCAATGACCTGTCTGTCCCTCATTTGTAGCTGGTGCAGAACTCTATACAATAGTCCCGCCTGCTGCAGAATGCTTTGTTCAGCACAACACAAAGCCACTGAGGATGTGGTGCTATAGATCCCGCTGTCCCCATTGTGAATGAGGGAGAGAAAATGAGCATAGAGTGTGCAAAAGTGAGAGTGTAGAATCGCTGTGTCATCCTCAGCAGTAAATCAGCATTGGGCGCTGGAGTGTATCTGCCTGGCACCATAAGGGCAGAGTGAGCAGTTGCATAACTCTCCTGCCTAGCATCCATCATCCACCTCCTTTCATCACACTGCACTGGGCCTTAAACACTTGCATGCAAACACATGCACGTACACTAAAAGATCACCTCATCTCATGTTTTATGTATTACCTTAAAATTATTCACTAATTTTGCTCAAGTGCTGATTCCTTTTTTTCTGTGTTATCAGTAATAAGATTTACTACTTTCTCATAAGAATACACTTATTACTATACAGCAATAATCCTCTGCTCTATACTCAGTCTATCTGCTATGCAGTTATTAATGACCCACTTTTAATCAGTGCTTATTGAACAGAGTTTTTTATGCAATTGTAGTCAATTTATTAGTATATTTGACAGATACAAATATTTACATGCTAGAAAAATACAGAAAATGTGTCTTTACTTTTAATAATCTGGTCATTCTATTGTTGGAATCTTATTGTTTTCCAGTTAATAAGCTCTATGAGCTCAATAGCAGAACACTGTTTGCCCTCCCTACTACGCACACTGCTTGACTGGTACCGGCGTCAGAGTGGCACTGAAGATGAGTCTTATGAGTACAGACCTCGCTCCAGCACTAAGTCCAAAGGGTAAGATGCCATCTTTATTTATTCACTTGTTTTGTTTGTCTGAAGAGTAGTTGTGCTTGCAGTATCCTTGTTAACATGTTTTTTGTTTTTCCTCATGGTTTATAGAGATGAGCAACACCGGGACAAAGATTATCTTCTGGAACGGAGAGACTTAGCCATAGATTTCATTTTTTGTTTAGTTTCAGTGGAAGTTCTAAAACAGGTAAGCGGTCTGGCACACACAGTGTTGGATGTTGGTTTACAGCATCTATAAAACAGTATTTGCCAGTTGCACGGTTAAGGCCATGTGACTATACAATGTTTATAGAAGGAAGGGGATATGCAGTGCACCTGTCTGACCTGATATTGACATTATCTTAACTATCTAGAAAGTGTTTGTATATGTGGTTATACTGTATGTCACCAACAGTGAGTGTCAGTCAGTTAACGAACAGGTGCACCAAGGTGCTCTGTAATCAGTGTCGTCCTCAGATTTGCTTCTCTGGAAACCTCAAAAGGCTTCTTATAATAGTAATTCAGTCCACATTTAGCCACCAAAAACAAAATCATACACACCCTTACAAAACTAGACAGTCTACACAAACAGATCTACAGATTACACGAGTAAATACAATAATGATGTTGATCAAATTGGCAATTCCAAAAACATAATGACCAACTACAATGACTAATGATGGTGTCTGTTGTACACATCAGTGAAAACAGCAAATCACAAGTGATTGTAGAGTAAGGCACGCATCAGTATTAAGAGAGGTAAGAACCATGTTCTGGAAGTTGTTACAGGAAATTAGACAGGTCAACCTTCTCATTTAAATTAGGAGGACATATGGTATTTAATGTTTTACATAGTAGTAGTAGTAGTCTCTGTAGACCACCTCTCCATGGTTGCATCACATTTTCTGTACCAACATACTTGAGTTGGGAAACGATGGGTGCTTCCTTTAAAATGGCCAACAGAAGAACAGGTACTATTGCACACTGAAGAAGGCATAGCTAAAGTGTCTTTTTATTTTTCCCACTATGCATGTGTGTGACAATTGGAAATAAATACAACTCACCGATTGGTGTGTGCAAACTTTCTTTTGTGCTTAGTTTGGATCTTTTGTGGTATAGAAATGAACTGTTGTGTTGTTAGTAAGGCGTTTCCCCACAGGGAACAAAGTAAATAAATGAATGGCTTGAATACTAACTCCCAGCTGAGTCTGTTTCTGAAGTGAGCTGTTCAAGTCTAAGAACCCCTGTGAACTAAAACCTGATCCCTGGAGATCAGAGCTAAGTTGTCCTTGGCTTTGCCCCTTTAGGCAGGATAATGAATGGTAGCAAAGGTAAATCATGAAGACTGTCAGTACTCCTGGTAAGACTAATGATTCCATTTTTACATCATAGATTCCTCTTCATCCAGTGCCGGATGTTTTAGTACATGAAGTTCTAAACCTGGCATTCAAGCACTTTAAACACAAAGAGGGGTAAATATCAACACTCAGCAGTGACACAGATAAATGAAACATGATGTATCATCAGTGGTTTGGTACAAATTGTGCCATAATAGATGTCTGTCTGTTTAAGACTTGATATGTTTCATCAATTTACAGGTACTGCGGCCCCAACACCGGCAATGTACACATTATCGCAGACCTGTATGCTGAGGTCATTGGAGTTCTTACACAGTCAAAGTAAGCAGAATAAGTTGCGCCTCTTAGCTAAATTCTAGCTTAATTATTTACTATGTATCGCATTCTCACTCATCTTTAACCTCTCTTATTCCTTTAAACAGTTTTTTTTTTTTTGTTGTTGTTTGTTTTTTGTAAGAGTAAATGCATTTTTGTGTGTGTGTGCTCAGATTTCAGGCAGTGAGGAAGAAGTTCATCACAGAACTGAATGAGCTCAGGCACAAAGAGCAGAGTCCTTATGTAGTCCAGAGTATCATCAGTTTAATCATGGGCATGAAGTTCTTCCGGGTTAAAATGTATCCTGTGGAGGATTTTGAGGCTTCTTTTCAGTTCATGCAGGTAAATTATTGTTGTTTATTTATATATATTTGTTAGTGTGCCTACAGTAAGAATGGCTGATGTGTACGTTTGCTGAATTGCACCAGGCTGCTTTTTTTTTTTTTTTTTTTTTTTTTTTTTTTTTTTTTTTTTTTAACACCGCCCCCCCTTTTTTTACAACAACGTCTCATAAAGCTAGATGAGTAATGATCAGCGGTGACATTTGCCAAGAAGTGTTTCAGGCTTTGCTTAGAGCTCTGACTGAGGCAGTACCTTTTTTTTTTTTTTAACCTTATTACAGCAACAAACTCGTGACTTAATGTTTTACTGAAATATACCATAGTTTATGTTCACCACATTGCTTCTGCACATATGGTTTTTAGCCACATAATGATCTTGCATTGTCAGAGCAGTATAGCCACTTTACACTTTGCATTGACATTTAAACAGCAACACTCATTACAGTTACGTTTGTCTTCTAATATGTCAATAATACATTTAAACATTCCTTCCTTGCCTTAGTGGTCAGCCTATAGAGGAAAAATTTGAATACGAATGCTATACAAATCTTTTCTTGTCATGTCAGCATCAGTCTTTGGTTCAGCATCAGCTGTGTCATAATACTTTCAATTACAGATTGTTCAACATCTATTATGTAGGTTTTATTTTGTTAAGACTTTAGCTTGTACAGATATTTGGCTGATTCAGAAATATGGGCACAGTTTTCTATTCTGCAGTCTGTTATTGTAGCAGTACAGTTATAAAGTGCTTCACAGCAGAGGCTAATAAAGCAAAGAAGGGGACAAGGGAAAAAAGAGATACTGCTGGAATGGGGGTGCAAATCTGAACTGGAGTTTATAACAGTTACTTGGACAAGGACTGGTAATATCACTGTCCTAATCTTGATTGCTTGTTTCAAACTGTACAGTACCATCTCCTGCCAGTTTGTATATGTTTCTGGGTGTATCCTCTGTGTTCTTTACATGTGTGCCTTTTGTATTCTGTCCCAGGAGTGTGCCCAGTATTTCCTGGAAGTCAAAGATAAGGACATAAAGCATGCTCTAGCAGGCCTTTTTGTTGAGATCCTCATCCCTGTTGCAGCTGTGAGTAACATTTAAAACTGCTTTCACTGTTCTGCACTCTGTAAATGAATCTCTGAATTTAATTTTGTCAATTTGAGATAAATGGCAATAACTCGTTCACCCTCAGGCGGTGAAAAATGAAGTCAATGTGCCGTGCCTGAAGAACTTTGTGGAGATGCTGTACCAGACGACATTTGACCTTAGTTCCAGAAAGAAGCACTCTTTGGTAAGAATTCTACCTTCCTATGTTTTTGTTTTTGTTTTTTTTTCTCCTTTCTTTCTAGGGATGCACCGATGCAGATCGGGTCTGGTACCATCCTCTAGTACTCTACTCATACTTGTTAAAGGTGTCCAGCCGATACCAATTAACGGCAGCATTACATTAACCTCACCTTGGCTGAGCCGGTCATGGTGGCAGTGTTGTGTTGATTATCAGAGTTTTCAGGTGATTTGCAAGGCCTCCTGTTACATAGGATTTTCTATTTAATCACTATCAGAAAGTAAATCTCATCAATTTAAACTGTCTCAAGTCATTTCACTTTTATGGCAATTGTAGTTCTGTTTTGTTTTGTTTTGTAGAAACATTGCATGAGTCCAGTTTTAAAAATCTGCACCCACAAAGCCGACCCGACCCGTTACCCGGAGTTGTTTCTAAATGAAATCCAGACCGACCTGTTAACTTAAGATCCACGACCTGACCCCTACCTGTAATTAAAACAGTTGGCCACTTAGTCATTTACTTTAAAGTGCCTGAGAGTTGGGTTCTTTGAAAAGTGTCTGTTGATGAACACCTAGACTGTGCAGCTGTTTTCTGAGTGAGGATGTGCCTAGCTTGCGGCTGTCAAACACACTTTTTGGTACCGTTCTCATGGTCTGTAACCACAACGAACTTCTCTTATATGTGTGACTTGGCTTTCGATGATGTATTTGTACACAATTTTGTATTCACCTCTAGCTATTTTCACTTTTAGGTTATTCATTGTGATCCGTTGATGCCTGACCTATGATGATGTCTGAGTGACATCTTATTAGCAGGATGTGAGTTGAGGGATCAACAGTTGTGCTATAGACCTTCACAATAAATTTATTCTTTATTTTGGCTTGACAACAGACTACACAACAGAAATCACCACAGTTGTATTGTGTGGTTCAAAATTTCCACGTCTGTTTACTTGACGATTATTAACTACTGATGATGCATAAAAGTCTTGAAGGGTTGTCCCATTTTATAGGGGAAGATTTTAACCACTACTCCTTGTAACTCCGTTTTGAGGGTAAACTCAGACAGAGGGGTAGGCGTGAAAAAATAAGACATGGGATTGGACTTTAGTCTTTTATGTTTACAGACCAGCTCCAAAACTGTTTGAAGAGCACTTTAAGATTTTTCTCAATTATTTTCATGTGTCATAAAGTGCAAGAAGATTCAGTCTTGGTTTATTCCTTTGCTTTTTGATACTGACAATGTTTTTCTTCCCAGGCACTGTATCCCCTGGTAACATGCTTGCTGTGTGTTAGTCAGAAGCCGTTCTTCCTCAACAACTGGCACATCTTCCTCCAGAACTGCCTCTCACACCTCAAGGTACTGCCAGCCTGAGCCTTTACCACCAATCCACTTCAGACAGTTGGTATTCTGTAGCTCGAAAGAGTAGCACAATGACTGTGTTCTTCAGATGAAAGTATTTTAAGGGCACCACACTTGGATTGACAATGTCTAATTCAGTTTGAACCGCAGAATTCTTATGATTCATGTTATGAAGCCTGAAATGATATTTTGTGGCTGTATAAAGTGAAATTAGTCCATTTAAATGTGAGATCATCATTTTGGTCTTTTTTTTAATAGAAATGAATGAAGCCATCAACAATTGTTACTGTAAAGGGAAAATTTAATATTGATATTATGATATAGTATGTGCTTAATACCACTGATTTAAGACGTTGCAAAGGGTGTGCTCTGTGGTTCTGTCTAAAGATCATAATGTACTTTCCCCTCCATTATCAACAACCAGATCTGGACAGGAATAGCACTTGATCCAATAAGGTAGTAACAGAGCCTTTGTTTAAACAAAAGAAGCTGAAGATTTTATCCATTTTAAACTCAATTATGCTCAACATGTAAACACTAAAAGAATATTAGATGTCACAGATATTCACCAGTTTAACCATTTCATAGATGCCAATGAAATAATTCAGCTTGTGACATCTTTTTAAACACTTCCTACACCTTGGGCGGTGTACCTTGTTTATTATGGTACCTCAAGTGCTGTTTTAGCTCAGGTCTTTTAATGACTCCTTGTAAACCAATTATGAACAGATCAGACCTATTTTCCTCCTGTTCCCTACCATCATAAAGCCTGACTGACCAAAATCACTGATTGACTGACCGACCCAGTGACTGTCTTTTCCATTCTACGTTGATCAGCTTCTGTGGAGACTGTATGATCTTGGGCTGGATTAATTTCCGTTTGCATTTTTGTGATGGTATTTTCTGATGTATTTCAGTGGCCGTCCGTCTTCGCAGTGACATCATTCCAGTAGTCGCTTTCACCTTTGTAATTGTTTTAGATTTCTTTAATTTAAAAATCATAAACCGTGTTCTGAGTGGTGATACTGGTTCCTTGATTGAGATATGTTTATGGGTTTGTGTGATGGCTGGACTGCAGTGAGGATTTCAGTGATTTAGGGCTTACTGCCCAACCAGTGCCTTTAACCCCGTGGCTGTTCTTGAGTATAAGGACAAACTGACAAGTTAAACCAGCTGTTATCGATTGTTTTGGGTTGGAGTTGGGCTTCACAATGAAGCAATCATTATACTCACAATAGGTATAAAGACTAAAGTAACTTTTTTGCCATTGAAACTACTGAGATTTGGAATTGGCCTTAGTGACACAACAACACTCAATACACTAATAACAAAAACACAGACTTGTATATGGAAAGGTTGCGATTCAAAGGTTAACTAACCTAAACATAATAAAAAAAAAAAACAACATATTATAAACCATAATGTTAATAATTATGGTTAATAAATTTTATTGTAACCATATAATTAAAATATAAGCAATATATCAACCCTTTCCACCATGTTTAACAAATTAAATCATTTGAATATTGTAACTGTATACATGTGACAAATTAAAGTAAAGTTGGAGAGGTAATAGAGCTTTTAGGACCAAATTACAACAGGTGTATATAGCCACTATACAAAACAGGACTTAATTTTGTCAGTAAAATGACTCTTTTGATATGATGGTATGATGAATTAACTTTTCCTAATCCACTTGCATACAGTATTTTCCATTCTGTATGTTTTCAATGCCTGGTTTGCTTTATTTATTTGACTTAACATTTGCTGCAGTAAGAATAGAGACACATAGTTATCACAACTTTTTAACCTTGTTTAGTAATAGTGTTAACAATATATTACAAATTAATGGAGAATTTATAACCATAATTGTGCAGCCCTACTTTGAAACCCAATGTCTCAGGGTTAAGATGCAGCGATTTGAACTTTGTGCTTGAGATGGTTTAGAACGGACTGCTGACTTGGGAGTCACTGCTTGTCGAATGTGTAGGTGAAACATCATCTTTTTTTGGTTTGTTTGTTTTGTACCATGTTCTATTCACATCATTAGTCTTTTTCCTCCTTCTTTTGTGTTCCATTTCTGTCCACTCCTCTGTTTGTGCTTTCTCTGTCCCACTGTCTGATTTCCAGACCACAGCACACCTTACTTTGCTTTGCATTTGCACTTGACAATTAGGATTTTATTTACTCTGTGTTGAAATGTTTTATCCCATATCAGTTACAAATGGACTGACTTTTTATCAGTAACATGCCACCAATAACTGTACGGATGTAAATTCCACATGTGGCATGTAAAACAGTCCATTGTGTTTCATTTCAATAAAAAGGTTGCTTTAGGTACTATCACAGGCAAGAGTAGAGATACTCTGAACTGCTCTTGTCATGTGTTTAGTTTGTTTTTGTTTTTGCCTATAACCTGCTCGTGTCCCTCCCCAAACCCTACATTCTTTGTCTCCTGTCATTTGATCTTTTTCTCACATTGACTCGCTCTAGATGCCGTCTAACAACAGCATCCGAAAGCAGATTGAAACGCTGCAGGTGAGTTATCTGGTGTCAGCGCCCAGCTTGGCGTTCCTTTCCAGTCTCCTGACCAGGACATAGGGTAGTGAAGTTCCTGCTTGACTAATGGGCTAGTGAGTTGTTCTCTGTTGTGACAGTGACATTGAAGTGTTACTCAGTAAAAGTACTGAAGGGAAACACATGGAACTTGTGACATTGCCTTAGCTTTGTTGTCGAGGTGGTTTGCATTGTATATGAGCAGTGACTTTATGGTTACATTTTTGTTTTTTTTTTTCCTGCAGATATGTGTGTATGTTTAATAGGGATCTACAATAAATTACTCAATGCATTGGTAGTGGGTAAAAAAAAAAATCCTTAATCTGTTTTCTGTTTGTATGAGGACTGATGCCAAAGTTATCCATGATATCAGCAATATTAGATATGTGAATGATTCAGTTGTAAATACAAGTCCATTATTGCATGAACCCTTCAATGATACAGATTCCATGTTGTTAGTCAACTATCTACATTTATAGTCAATGACAGTAGATGTGCTGATATTGCAATGAAATACAAAGTTTAGCTGTTAACCAAAACTAAATGATAGAAACTATTAATGCAACATTGGTTTAAAAATTCAATATTGTGCTCCCCTCTTTATTACCAGATGGTCAGAGAAAGGTCATAGAAGCATGAAAAAATAAATGTATTTGGCTTTTATGGAGTGTTTTGAAGTGTTGTGGCAGTGCTGCATTTAGGTTTTTGTGCTGGAGTTGTAGTAGAGTAACGGGCAGCAGTCGCGCTGAGCTTTATCTTGTTGCACAATCCAGTACCTGCCACACTGGCTGTTGACATTAGGGCTGACTAATATTTTTTTATTATGTTAACTGACAGTGTGTCACGGACATCCTTGATGTGCACAGCACTAAAGTGAGAGGTGTTCTAAATCTATCTTTGTTATGCAGTGGGGTCTCTGACACTTGTACATGACATTTAAGAACTTGGATTACCACAGATAAAACTTACTAGCTTAGGTAAATACATTAAAACAGAATGACTGATCATTAGTCAGTGTTCAGTACCAGATGTGAGGCTCAGTCCTGGGTGGAAAAATTCTTGTTATTTTATGTATTAGCATAATTTGGGAAAGATGTAGACCTGTTTTTAAAAACACTGGAGAAACAGAAGTGAAACTACAGTACAACTGAGTGTAAGTTGTTTAAATGGAAACTTCATTAATTGATTTATCTTCTTTTTTTTTACCAAGGCCATTGTGGATCCTTAAATCCTTGAAAAATAAATAAATATGATCATGAAAAAAAAAAAAGCTGACCTGGAGCTGGCACATTTGTGTGTGCACAGTGATCTAGTTGCTGAACTGTGGTTTACAATTTAGTATAGCACTTGACCTAAATAATGGTAAGCTTTCACGCTTACCCCCTAGATTTTATTTGGTTTTATTTGTCCAGTATTTGAAATATCTGCCTTCTCCACCTATTGCTTTTAAGGTATCGCATGTTTCAGTTGAGCCATGGTGTGTCGTATGCATACGCATTTTCACCATGCCCTCCCAATAAGCAATATCTGTACTAATTTGTAGGCATGGCCGGGCCACGATGATCTCTGCCCTTTAGCTGTGTCTTCACCGTAAATTACCAGATGGACAGTACAGTGTCAAACTCCTTGTTGGTTGAAAATATTTCCCCATCACAATAGAGACTTTCAGTGCTGTGTTGTTTATGTATGTCTAAGGAGATGTTGCCACAGTGAGGTTTTTATATATAAAATTGAAGAGGTCTCGTTCAGGTGCTTAATATATTTTTGGTAAATCCCAAACCTCAACCTTCTGTTCCTGGAGCTAATTTCTGTATAATTGAATGTTTGCATTGCATTAAAATGACTCCCCACCCCCCAAGATTGACTTCCTCTAGTTGAGAATGACTGACTCCATACTCAGCATTTCTTCCAACATTGCTGTATTTTATTAGATTTACTGATGAATACATCTTATAAATAACATCTTTAGCCCTGAAGCTTAATAATCATCAGCCCATGTGAGCTTTCAGTGCTCAGACATCAGTCAGTGACTCTTTAGAAGTTGAGCACTGTGACTGAAAAATGATGGCTGTACATACAGTTTCCCAGGTTTAATATGTTCCATCTGAGTTTCTCCAGACAATAACAACCTCATCTCTCAAGTCTAACGTGTGGCTAATGAAACTGTCAGAATTGTATTGAGTGGCTTATAGTATTCTTTTTATACCCACAGAACAAAGACCCCAAAATGTCCCGTGTAGCGCTGGAGTCACTTTACAGACTGCTATGGGTCTATATCATCAGGATCAAGTGTGAGAGTAATACAGTCACACAGAGGTCAGTTCCAGGGCCACCTGTGATTTGATCCTCCCTTTCACTGTCCACACACAATCTAACCCTGTGCAATTCACAACGATCAAGTAAAAGTAATTTAAATAATGCCCTGTGGTAAGCACTAAGTATGTTCATAAATTTCTCCTGTTTTTTTCTTGTAGTCGATTGCTCAGCATCATTTCAGCACTTTTCCCCAAAGGCTCCCGCAGTGTGGTGCCCAGGGACACGCCCCTCAACATCTTTGTCAAGATCATCCAGTTCATAGCTCAGGTAGGTTTGGAGCATGAACTGACAGAACTAGATTTCAGTTGAGCTAAAACCATCTAGTAACTGTGTTAGTAATTGCAAGTTTTCTTGGTTGTTGGCACAGGAAAGACTCGACTTTGCTATGAAAGAGATCATCTATGACCTCCTGTGTGTGGGCAAGTCTCACAAAACCTTTACCATCAATCCAGAGGTAATGTATACATAACACTTGTAGTGATACTGTTGGAGTGTTGGTGGGCTCTCTCTCATCCTCTCCCTCTGTCTGCCCTGCCAGAGGATGAATATCGGTTTGCGAGCCTTCTTGGTGATTGCTGACAGCCTACAGCAGAAAGATGGGGAGCCTCCCATGCCTACTACAGGGATCATCATGCCCTCTGGCAACACCCTGCGTGTCAAAAAGATCTTCCTCAACACCACCCTCACTGATGAAGAAGCAAGGGTCATAGGTATGTTCAATTCTTGAAACTTGTCATTTGGAGTAAGATTTGGCCATGAGGGGGGAAATTTTAGGAACTGTAATATGTGTTTGTTTTGTTTTGTTTTTCTTTCGCTGTGAGTGTAATGACTATGCTGGGTGTTTTCAGGGATGTCACTGTACTACCCACAAGTAAGAAAGGCCTTAGATAACATCCTGCGACACCTGGACAAGGAAGTGGGACGCTCCATGAGCATGACCAGTGTACAGATGTCCAACAAGGAGCCTGAGGACATGATCACGTGTGTAACCACAACCTAAATTTATAAAATTACTTTAGTGTTGCTGTCTGAGGATTCAGGTACTTATACCCTGTAGCAGGTTCTCATGAGGTGTTTGTCTTGCAGGGGAGAGAGGAAACCAAAGATCGATCTGTTTCGTACGTGTGTGGCCGCCATCCCTAGATTGATACCAGATGGCATGAGCAGACAAGATCTAATAGAGCTCCTAGCCAAGTAATTCACCATCTTTAACCATACTGCAGACCCTTCTGTAATCTGCTCTAGGTCTGGTTACCTCCATATCTTTTAAAATATTTCTCCCTGCTGGCTCCTTTTTCTATAGACTGACCATTCATATGGATGAGGAGCTACGTGGCCTGGCCTTTACTACTCTTCAGGCCCTGATGATGGATTTCCCAGAGTGGCGAGAGGATGTACTTTCAGGCTTTGTCTACTTCATTGTTCGAGAGGTGACTGATGTCCATCCCACTTTGTTGGACAATGCTGTCAAGATGCTACTGCAGCTTATCAGCCAGTGGAAGCAGGCAGTGCAGAGCAGCCATAAGAGCCATGATGCACAGGTTGGTCAGCTGTATTAAATGTGTTGGTTTTGTGTGTTTGTGTGCATTAGTGTAGTTTGTATTTATAATGTGACAAGTGTCTTATCAAATGTCCTAAACTACTAAGTAATTTTATCGCATGTTCTTTTAAATAGGATGCCAGCAGTGGTCATTCTCTGTCCCTGGAGCGTAATCCTCCATTAGGTGTGCTGCATGTGGTGGAGGGTTTAGCACTGGTGGTACTTTGTAGCTGCCGCCCTGCCACCCGTAGGCTGGCTGTTAATGTCCTCAAAGAGGTCCGTGCACTGCACTCTGCACTGGGCATTGGCAAGGTAATTACTTTAGACTCATGGTGCATTTTGTTGTGACTGACTGTTGTCAAGCCCTCACCCAATATCTGAACAGCTGACTAGGGATCTGACACTACAGTAGTCAAAAGGTTAGTGGATTGGTATGCAGTTGTTTATTATCTTCACCACAGGCAGGTAGCACAGTTTGAGCTCATATATTGAGGCTGTTTTAACAATTAATATCCAATATTTATAAGTCTGCAGCACATTTTTATTGTAAGCACTGTTTTCTTACATTTATTCTTCCTCGATCTTTCAGGGGGATGAGGAATTGGCCATTGACATAATGGACAAATTAAGTGCGTCAGTGTTGGAGAGTTTCATTCATCTTACAGGGGCTGACCAGGTATAAATGCATTTTCTTATGCTGAGAATTATAAAACTTGCACCAATCTGAGATTTCAAGTTGTCTGCTCTGGTTATCTCTGTAGACCAGCCTCCTGTATTGTCCCAGTGGGATTGATCTTCAGACACTAGCTGAGTGGAGTGCATCACCCATCAGCCACCAGTTTGATGTGGTTAGCCCTTCACACATCTGGGTGTTTGCCCACGTTACTCAGGGCCAGGACCCTTGGGTCATCAGCTTGTCCTGCTACTTGCGGCAGGAGCACCTGCCCAAACATTGCCCCACTGCCCTCAACTATGCCTGGATGTTTGCCTACACCCGTCTGCAGCTGCTGTCTCCACAAGTTGACATCAAGTATGTTTCCTCTCTTTGCTTTCTGTTTATATGTCTGTGTAACCAGTGGTGGAAAGTAACTAAGTATATTTACTCAAGTACTGTACTTAAGTACAGTTTTGAGATATCTGCACTTGAGTATTTTAATTTTGTGCTACTTCATACTTCGATTTCACTACATTTTAGAGGCAAATACTGTACTTTATACTCCACTGCATTTATTACAAAAATGCACTATAATCACAAGACTTTATTGATGTATGGTGGAAAATGTACTTGTTACCCTGCAGTAATTCAAATCATAACCATATAAGCCAGTCAAAACTAGCTACCCCTTTACCAGCTGCAACATTAAAGTGATGAACACTAAATGTATAAATAATTCTAATCCAAATGCATTAATGGTAAATGTGCCATTCTGCATAATGAGTACTTTTATTATTTTAAGTATGTTTTGGTGTTAATACCTTTGTACTTTTACTTAAGTAATATTTTGAATGCAGGACTTTTACTTGTACTTTTATATTGTGTTATTTTTACTTTTACTTAAATAGGATATCTGAGTACTCCTTCTACCACTGGAAGGAGTAAGTGCGTGTGTTTTTCTGTCACAGTGGATGCAGTTTTTCTCCAAGCGTTGCAGGTTTGTATGGAGTTAATAGCAAAAAAATATTGAAATTGGCCCTATCTTCAAATGGTGAAGAAGCTCTTAAAAGGTGGGATGAATTGTTCTCTAGGCCATACCCTACCTCTCCAAAAGAACTTGATCAAAATCCATTCATTGCTTTTTCAGCTGTGCTATGAACAAACAAAGGCTGTAAAAGCAAAGCGTCCTTGGCGGCAGTAATAAATGAATGACATAGTGATGAAACATGCTGTCCCATATGAAGGCCTCAACACAAACGGGCAGAAGGCAGCTGCTTTGTTCTCTGGGCCCACAGCTCAGTGTTGTTCTGACATTTTGATGTCATTTCATTAATCTCTGACCTTTCCTGTATGTCCACCTGCAGTAGCCCCATCAATGCCAAAAAGGTGAACAGTCTGAGCAGCAGTGACTCCTATATTGGCCTTTGGAGGAACTACCTGATTCTCTGCTGCAGCTCCGCCTCTTCCTCCATGTGTTCATCATCCTCCACCTCTGGCTCCGTCCGCTGCTCCCCACCTGAGACACTGGCATCCACGCCAGACAGTGGCTACAGTTATGATTCAAAGGTCAGGAGCACCTGCCTAGACAGCACTCAATTTACAGACATTTACAGGGTCTTGAATACACAAAAAGATATTTTGCTAATTTCCAAGTCTTGAAAGGTTTTGAAGTTGTAGAAAAAGCAAGGATGAATGCAGTGCAGATAAAGGAGCCCCGCAACATAGGAACTCTTAATGAATAGTTGTTAGACTTGATTTATTTTTGCTTTTCAGCCATAACATTCTGTGTTTGTTAATAGATTGTTGGCACTCCGTCCCCCTCCTCCCTCTTCAAACACATTGTTCCAATGATGCGCTCTGAGAGCATGGACATCACAGAGTCTCTTGTGTTGGGGCTTGGCAGGACCAACCCCATAGTTTTCAGGTAAACATCACTTGATATGATCCATATACAAGTATACACCATGATGTACCTGTCATATATAGCATTTTGTATTTATTGAACTTCATATCTTTCAGAGACTTGATGGAGGAGCTAAATCCCATCATCAAAGAAGCTTTAGAAAGGAGACCTGAAGTAAGTCCTGTTCACTGATCGCTCTGAAACGTTTGTCACCATTCTGTGTTTATTAAAAGACAGTTTACTGAGGTTAAATGTGATCTGCTTTACTCTGCAGAACATGAAGCGACGCAGGCGTCGTGACATCCTCAGGGTCCAGCTGGTCCGGATATTTGAGCTGCTGGCTGATGCTGGTGTCATCAGTCAGATGTATGTAATCCACAATGAATTTATCCAGTAACCATATTATTACAAATCATTTTGTACATTCATAGATTTGCTCAACAAACATAGCAGTGTGATATTTCTTTCTGACTTTACTTTTCTTTTTACAGAGCCAGTGGAGGGTTAGATGGAGAGAGCCATTCTCTGAACAGCACACTGCTGGAGTATGTTGATCTGACCAGGCAACTGCTGGAGGCTGAAAATGACAAGGACTCGGACACACTGAAGGACATTCGCTGCCACTTCAGTGCACTCGTGGCAAATATCATACAGAATGTCCCAGGTATATCTATTAAATCCCCCCATTTATGTCAGTTTAAAATGAGCTTTTGTTTGGATTCAGTATTTGTCTAATATTAGAGTAATAAAAATAAAAAGTACCTTATATGTATCACTCTCATTACATGCTGTACTCAGTTCACCAGAGGAGGAGCATCTTCCCCCAGCAGTCACTGAGACACAGTCTGTTCATGCTGTTCAGTCACTGGGCTGGGCCCTTCAGCATCATGTTTACTCCCCTGGACCGCTACAGTGACAGAAATATGCAGATCAATCGCCATCAGTACTGTGCGCTAAAGGTACACACCCCATGTAAAGATCTAAATATCTGCATACAATATAATCCGTACTTACTGATGACCAAACAGTTCTTTCAATCTCCCAGGCCATGTCTGCTGTTTTGTGTTGTGGCCCTGTAGCTGACAATGTTGGCCTCTCCTCTGATGGCTACTTGTACAAGTGGCTGGATAACATCCTGGATTCTCAGGACAAAAAGGTTGAGACTTTTTTAAGCCTTCTTTGATGATATCTAACAATGTCTTCGATAGTCTGGCCAGGCCATGTGGCTGAGTACTGCATGTTAGGCTAGAGGAATATACATTGCTAAAGAAGAGTCTTGCATGTTCAACTACATGTAACATGTACATGTATTATTTAGCGTATTAAAAATATAGAAATAGTAAAGCCTGGGTGTTTACTAGCATATATTGTCTTGGAAACAATGCACTTGCTTAGTGTTTCAACCTGTGCAGTCTTTGTTGAAGCATATCAAACCTCTTATTAGGTCATAAAATATGGATGAATGTAGTGGTGGCAATCAACACAAGACCAATATGTAATTATGTAATTATAATGTCTGCAGTGATGCAGCCACAATAAGCATCATGCTCTTTTTTTGTTGTTTTGTTTATGGAGAGCAAGTGGTTTGGTCCAATTGTATCTCAAGACTTGCTGAGGTCAAAGTTAGGTAGCACAGATACACATGCATGGCACTATCACTACACAGTGGTGTTCAGAAGTACTGCAAGAGGTCGGCACCAAACAGTTCTATTCAGATAAAGACCTACACATTAAGTTTTGTTTTTGTTTTTTTTTTTAGAAAGCACTTAAGAATAAAATTATCATTTAATATATTTCAACATTTGTATTTTGGTTTTAAAACAAACCTTTTCCCTTTGTAAATTATTGTTTAGTGATTCTGCAAGCAACATGTAAGAAGCTTCATGTGTAGCATTTACAAAATGATTTTGTCATTGCCTACTCTGTATTAATGGTCCATATGGCAGGTGTTTTGTGTTTGCAGCTTGACAGCATATTTTGTGTCCATAATAATGCTAATTAATATAATAGGTACATATTGAAATATTCTCTAAAGTTTAGCAGGCTTGTGTGGAGTCATCACCCTGTGGTTTTAAGAGTTGATGTGTGGTCTCCTACAGGTTCACCAGCTTGGTTGTGAGGCTGTGATGCTGCTGCTGGAGTTAAATCCAGATCAGAGTAACCTCATGTTTTGGGCTGTGGACCGCTGCTACACCGGCTCCCGTCGTGTGGCTGCGGGCTGCTTCAGGGCCATTGCCAATGTCTTTCACAACAGGTACTACATATTCCCAGCTTTAGCTTGAGCTCATTTGTACCGGAGTCAAACTGCTTATGTGCCTAATTGTGCTTGGCCAAGAAAGATTCTAATTTTGATTTTTGTTTTTGTGGGTTTGTTGGCCTGTGTGGAGTCAGCTAATCACAAACTCAAGTACTGCATGTGTTGTATGTTTTCTCTTAGGGATTACCAATTTGACACTGTGGTGCTGCTGAACTCTGTTCAAGGCGGCTGATTCTTCCAGGGACATCTATGAAGTGGCCATGCAACTGTTACAGGTCAGAATTTGTTGCATGAAAATTCGACTCTTGCTTATCTGCATTATGCAGCATAACTACTATATCCACTTTTATTGTTAAAGAGATTGTGTTTCTTCATTGGAAACCAATAGATCCTGGAGCCCAAGCTCTTCCGTTACGCCCACAAGTTGGAAATCCAGCGAACAGATGGCATCTTGACCCCTCCCTCACCTCTACCACATCTCTACTCTGTGTCTTACTACCAGCTGTCTGAGGAGCTTGCAAGGACGTACCCAGAGCTCACTCTGCCCATCTTCTCAGGTTGGAGACATTACAGTTTGCTACAGCAGCAAGGTGCTGTAATGTGTGAGATTATTGCATTAACTGATAGGTTTCCATTTTATTTGCTGGCACAACAAGGATCTGCCCTTTGGTTGTGAGAGCAAAACGCTTGAGATTTTTCCAAAGGTTCCCTATAGCACATGTAAGCCTAGCTATGCCAAGCTATGTGGGTGTTTGGTTTGTGCTGATAGTCTGATACAACCATTTAGTGTCAAGATATCATACATACTGCTGTCTATGTTGTATGTGAGATTGTCAGCAGCCCTCAAATGAACACATCTGGGATTAGGCATTGGCCATGGTGTGTAGTTCATCATTAGCACAATGTAAACTTGAATCTAATATACTGCCTTATACATTCATGATTCCTTTGTGCTTTTCTACTGTTTTTAATGGCACCTCTGTGCAGAGAAACAAAAGTCAATCTTAATGTTCATTCATGTTTTAATTTATTATTAAATCACTAAAGTAAACCACAAACTATTTTCACCTTGCTATAACAATACATAGAACAATGGAAAGCACTGCTGATGTAATGATACTGTTGGGAATAAGGTTTAGAATTCAGATATCGTTCCTTTACTGTGTAATGGTTTCAAGTACCAACTACCTTCCTACTGTATCCTCTTCAGAGGTGAGCCAGCGTATCCAGACAGCTTATCCTGGTGGTCGTCAAGTGATGTTGCACTACCTCCTGCCTTGGATGAACAATGTGGAGCTGGTGGACTTCAAACCGACTGCACGGCGACAAGAAGATTGCGGCAGTGGTGAGGATGACGAGGATGTAAAGGACCAGGAGCTCATGATGGTCAACAGCCGGCGCTGGCTCCGTGGGGAGGGCTGGGGCTCCCCTCATGCGACAGCCATGGTGCTAAACAACCTCATGTTTATGACCGCTAAGGTGAGACATCTAATGGACCATGTGCACTCAGTCATATTCAGACTGACATGAATAAGATGGCTTTGGAAATGTTGGTTGAGGCAGTAGATTAATCATGACATGGTTTTATTTTTTTTTACAGTATGGGGATGAGTTTGCTTGGTCAGAGATAGAGAATGTATGGACAACATTAGCAGACAGCTGGCCAAAGAACCTCAAAATCATTCTACACTTCCTCATCAGTATGTCAGGAGTCAACAGTGACCCCAGCCTCTTGCCCTATGTAAGTCCACAGCTCATCACATTGTGGTATCCCCATGTGCACGTTTGCCACGTATTCTTGATGTTTCTAATTGTGTTACGTGTGTGTCCTCAGGTGAAACGAGTGGTTGTTTACCTGGGCAGAGATAAGACTATGCAGCTGCTGGAGGAGTTGATGTGTGAGCTTGAACTGACTGATCCTGTTAGCTCAGCTGTCACTCATATGGACAACCCCCCCTACTATCGCATAACCTCCAGTTACAAGATCCCCTCAGTCACCTCAGGTTAATGAGCACTAGAAATGCACTAGTTCATAGATCAGGCCGCATTGCCAATGGTGAATTGGGTCTTGGCAGTGCTTAGATGATCAGTGTTTCATTTCTGCTCTCTCAGGAACAACCTCCAGCAGCAATACCATGGTGCCAGGGAATGATGGTCATCATGATGGCAAGATCAAAGACTCGAACATGGAGGAAAGGTACAAGTTAAAATACAAGTAGGAGCAAAGTTTCAGAAAGTATAAGATGGAATCTGTGAGTGTGGAATGTCTGCAGCCACAGCACTTAGTGACTTGACTGGCACCGATGAGCAGATAGAAGTTATACAGTATAATAAGGTCGTGGCAATAACCACAATGTATTTGACCTTCAGTGCAAGTAAGATGGAGACACTTGGCATCTTTGCTTCTTGACATAAATAAAAACTTTTTCACTAGTACATACAGTTTGTGTCGATATGACTTGATCTTCTCTCGTTGCTCTCCTATACTAAAATACAGTGCAGAAATCAAAGTTTAAAACCCCTTGTTTGTACATATGTCACAATTCCTCTCAGTAAAAAAGTTTAAATTTGAATTATTTGATTTGTAATTAAGATGAAAAATATCTCAAGTTTATATTAGAGACACTGAGAGCCACGAGTTGAAGGTAATTTGACTTTAAAATTTTGATGCAGTGGATTAGACTAAAGTTGTTTGTTGTGAGCAAAATCTGTCACTTCTGGCACTATCTTTTTAAATCAAGTGCATCTGTTCTGCAGCTACACCCACCTGGACATCTACAGTGGGCTGAACAGTAACCTGAACTGCCAGCACCACCGTCTAGAATCTCGTTACAGCAGCAGCTCTGGAGGCTCCTACGAAGAAGAGAAGGGTAAGAACAAACTTCTTGCACCTCATCACTTAACACTATTCAGAATGGTGTTAAAATAACATTTCTAATAACCTTCTCCAGGTGACTCTATGCCACTTTATGCTAACTGGCGTTTGAAAGTGATGGATCACGACCGGCCAGAGCCTCTTCCATTCCCTCCAACAGGAGGCTGTTGGTCGCCATTGGTGGACTATTTGCCAGAGACCACTGCCCCTGCTGTGCCGCTCCACAGGTACAGCAAACACCACCTTTCGTTCCCTCTGCACTAAACTACTGTATTCTTTGCCTGAGTCAACCCATCTTTTTGGTTTTTCAGATGCAACATTGCAGTCATCCTACTGACAGATCTCATTGTGGACCATGGGGTCAAAGTGGAGTGGAGTGCCTACCTGCACCTCTTGCTACATGCTATTTTCATTGGTAATGTTCTGCTTATTTTTGTTGTTTTGAATGTCTTTATCTATCTTCTTGTGGACCTGTCAGTTGACCCCTTACACTTTGTCATAGTCACATTATCTAATCTCTGTTATGTCTTCCTCAAGGGTTTGATCACCAGCACCCGGAGGTCTATGAGCACTGCAAACGTTTGCTGCTTCATCTGCTTGTTGTCCAGGGAGCAAATAATGGTGTCCAGTCTGTGGCTATGGTGCTTTTACGCAACAGAGACTACAATGATCCAAGGGTCCTGACTGTGAAGCCTGTTGTTTCAGAGTTCAACCTCACAGGTCAGTTCTGTTGTGCAGCTCAGAAATGAAAGAGAAGAACACAGTAAAGAGTAACATGAACTGACAAATTTGAACTGATCACCGTCCAGCTTTGCCATTGTCAGTGGAGGAAAAGTAATAAGAATATTACATGTACTCATTTGTTGTATTGCCAAAGCAAATCACTGGGTGGCAGCAATGATCAGCTCCACACAGGAAGGTTTCCCTGTCACCTAATGTGACCAATGTTCATCTGCTTCTTTTGCAAAGTTTTAGAGAGGTTTGGTGTTAGACAATTTTAAAGAAGGGGCACCTCTTGACATGCCTACATAGCATACCATGCAGCTTGTTGTTTACGGTTTATATGGAAACTTTTCCTACAGGAGTTAAAGAGTTTCTGCCAGATTGTCAGCCATCACCTGTGACAGACTCCGGCCTCAGCTCGAGCTCCACATCCTCCAGTATCAGTCTTGGGGCAGGGGGGAGTGTGTTGTCGCACCTCTCTCCTACTCTCCTCAGTGAGATAGATGTCACTGTTGAACAGGACGAGAAGGCCAAAGCTCTCATTGAGTTCATTATGACAAGGTGAGATGACCCTGTTTTGTTAAAATGAGTATTTCCCCTAAGAATAGCTTTACATTTACACTAGTCACTACTTGTTATTCTGCTGCTTATAATGTAGCAAGGTTGCTGTATTATTGCACATGCTTAATACACTACACGCACCATGTTACTCATTCTGTTCAATTATTTGCTTTCATGCTTCCAGCAGTGTCTGAAAGGATTGGGTATTTTTACTTTGCATGGGTTTGAGTTTGTTTTTTTGTTTGTTTTATATCCTATTGGCTTCTTCTGCTTGGTGAAATGACACAAAATATTTCTAGGTGTGGTGTAATTCAGTAGCTGTAACAGGTCACATTACCTCTGTTTCCTCTTGGCTCTGCAGGAAGCGGGGGCCGCTCTGGAACCATGAAGACGTGTCGCCAAAAACCCCCAAAATTAAGAGCGCTGATCAGCTGAGTGGTTTTGTCAGACATGTAGTGAATGTCTTCAGGTGTTCCCAGACAGGTCTGTATGGTTCATAGCTACTTGTTGCCTAATTCTGTTTATTTGAGCTTGATGTATTTTGGATATTTTATCTACCTGTACAAACATGTCCATCCCTTCAGGTTTTCAGCTGGAGTCGATGCTGAGTGAAGTAGCTCTGCGGACAGCTCTGTCTTGTTGTTGTCGCCACTATGCTGGGCGCTCATTCCAGATTTTTAGGGCACTCAACCAACCTCTGACTCTTGGCACGCTGTCTGATATTCTGTCTCGACTAGTAGAGACCATAGGAGACCCAGGAGAGGAGGCTCAGGTCAGAACATAAAAAAATGACTTGGTCCTGTGCTGCAATTTTCCATTACATACATCAGAGTACTGAGGAATGTTCTTAATATTCATCCATCTAGATTACGAGATTTGGCCACTTTTTGCTTTTCTATTTCTGCTTTCAATTCACAATTTAAGATACATTTAAGTAAACAAAACATAGTATAAAACGCGTTTTCCCTGCACTACATGACAACAAAGAACTTCAAAATATTTTCAGTTAGAGGTTTTAGGTTAAACACAATTGAACTGAGATATTCTGCTTGTATGAAACTCAACAGTTTGTGTGTTTTAAACCACTTGTTGCCAGTAAATCTCCCCTCATGTAATCCCATACAGTTCCGCAGTTAATTGCAGCACTGTCCTGTGCATAAGTTGTGCGTTTCTTCAGAAGAGCATGGATCAATTTCAAGTCAAATTAAACTAAACTATCTGTTTAGGTTGCCTGTTTCCTACTGTCAAGCTGACCACTGGTGTTTTTCTATTTAGGGCTTTGTTATTGAACTGCTCCTGACACTGGAGTCAGGCATTGACACGTTATCAGACACAGTCAAAAACTATGACCTCCTCACTGCCTTAGCACAGTAAGTCCCTCTCCTAATAACCTCACATTTATTATGTTTGACTCATTTTTACTTTAAGTAACATACTGATTGACATACATATTGTGAAAGATATTTTCAAACACTTATTTACAGAACCTCTCGTGATCATTTGTTGGGGCCTAAGTTTGCTGCCAACAGGAAAAGCACAGGCCAGTTGAACTTGAACGGTGGTGGTCCGTTTCATTACGTCCATGCTCGCAGCAACTCTCTGCGTGCCAGCCTGATGGGTGAACGAAAAGCTGACAGGCGTAGGAGTAACACCTTAGATGTAGCAGACCGCCTTGGTGGTAGCCATGGAAACCTGGCTCGCACACGGAGCTTATCATCACTCGGTGGAGGAGGGGGTCCAGGGGGAGAAGCCATCCCCCCAGTGGACCCTTCAAATCTGATGGCCACTGTGTTCTGGATCGCCGCCTCACTGCTTGAGTCGGACTACGAGTTTGAGTACCTGCTGGCGCTGCGGCTGCTGAACAAGCTGCTGGGCCAGTTACCGTTGGATCGTGCAGACAGCAGAGAACGTCTGGGCCAGTTACCGTTGGATCGTGCAGACAGCAGAGAACGTCTGGAGAAAGTCCAGGCCAAGCTGAAGTGGTACAGCTTCCCAGGCCTGTTGCAGCTCTTTCTGAAGGGCTTCACCTCGGCTTCTACTCAGGAGCTCACTATTCACCTGCTCAGCAAACTCATCAGTGTATCCAGACATACACTGGTAGACCCTTCACAAGTGGCAGGTAAGTACTGCTGATTTGTTCATTTGTTTATTTTGTTGTTTTTCATCATTTAAAAAACATCAGTCTTAATCAGGAAATTCGTGTTTATTGCTCACAAACATTCCTTGTTCTCTTCATTGCATTCCAAGGCTTTCTGTTATTAGTAATATTGATAACATATCTTTATGATCAGACTACCAACTGTGACCTTTTTGTTCACTGCCTTTCTGGCACACGTCTACAGGTTTTCCTTTGAATGTCCTGTGCCTCCTACCGCACCTTATCCATCACTTTGACAGCCCTACTCCATTCTGTAAGGAGACAGCCGATAAGATAGCTAAGGTGTGCACAGATGAGAAGTCAGCCACGCTCTCCAACCTGGCTCACATGATGAGCCTGTACAGCACACACAGCTATTCCCGTGACTGCACCAACTGGATCAATGTGGTCTGTCGCTACCTCCACGATGCCTTCGCTGAGATAACCTTGAACCTGGTCACTTACTTGGCTGAGGTATATAAGATTAAGATCAAACTTCCTGCTCTTAGTCACATATGGATGGATTAAATCACTTTTGTCTATGAAATGTGTATGTCTCTCAGTTGCTGGAAAAGGGCCTTCCCAGCATGCAGCAGTCCTTGTTGCAGATCATCTACAGCCTGCTGAGTCACATTGACCTATCAGCAGCCCCTGTCAAGCAGTTCAACCTGGAGATCATGAAGATCATTGGCAAATATGTTCAGGTGAGCCTTTGTCACTCTTTCTGTGTAGCTGTGATCAAATATTACCATCAGTGCTGTGCAGGTTGCTCATTAAATGTTATTGGGTATTTCTATTATTTATTTATTCAATTACTTAACACGTAAAGAAACACGTTTCCATTCTCCTGATTGGTTACATTACTTGTTACATTATTAAGTTTGGAATTGAACTGCAGGTCTATACAGTGGGGCTTGAGAATTTATTTATCTCCAAGGGGCGATTTGCTGTGCAGACAGTAGTACATTCACTGTCACATCACAATCATAAAAACATAAAACGCACACAGAAAACCTATCACCCTCTCTAAACGAATGTCAGTCATGATAAATAACGTATATTGTCACAAAGCATTATTTAAAAAGCCAATGGCACTTGGGATAAAAGAGTTCTTGAATCTGCTCATTCTGCATCTTGGTATATCTGCATCCAGAAGGGAGAAACCTGGATTTATTGCACAGAGGATGGCTGTAATCAGCCACAAGATGAAAGGTTATGCAATAGTACACCATTAACATTCACATGTGACCATTCTGTTAAACAATCTGAGCAAGTAGATGAAACCAAAATTAATATTATAAAAACTTCATCTCTTTAGTAGTTGTATGTTTTTACTGTGAGCAGCCAGTATTCCCACACACCAAACTGTATGTGAACACTGGGAGGATCTACTCAGTAAATTCCTGGGGCCACTATATGCTCCTCACTCACATCTGCATCTGACAGATCAGTGTTTCCTACAGAATTACATTCTAATTGTAATGGTAATTAAATATAGTAATGCCATAGTGCTGCGGTGCTGTTCATCTGACCTGTCCCTTCTGCACTAGCTCTCCCACACAAGCAGCTCTCTCTTCCTGACCCCGTCTTGCTGCTTCAACAGCGCTGGTTGAAACCAACAAATATTCAAAACAAATCATTTGGATCGCTAATCACACTTGTCAGACTGATCAGCTTTCCCACTTTCCTACTACATTAAAATAAGATTTAACCTATTTTAAATCAATATGTGGTGGTTAATGTTGATATTGTGGGGCCTGCCACAAATAAATCGATGTATGGGAAACACTGCAGGTGTTATATAGTATTATTGCCTTAGGTCAATTCTGTACTGGCTTACTACCAGTAGAATTCATTGTGTTTGTGTGGTATGCATTGTTCCAGTGTATGTGCACTGTGAATTGTACTGGTTTGGCATCCTTTTAATATTCCCTGACACTGACATAGGCCATTCGTTGTAGTTATTTCAGAGATGCAGTCCACTCACATTATATACCTTAATGCTCATTTCTAATCTTTTTGTCCAATCCAATCCATTTTTGTTCATGGTTCACATTCTTGTGATGTGAACACAGCTGAGCTCCTAAACTGCCACGCATGTACAGATTTAACTTAATATGACCCACATGCGTGCAGAGATAACACTGATGTCATTTGTGCGATAGTCAAATTACACCGTTTCCTCCTTGCTTAAAATATGTTCCCTCCACCTTAGCATGATCAGAAGCTTCTAAATAAATGTCCAAGTGTGAAACATCCACGTCTCTCCACTGATCCTCGTCATTCTTGTTGCTCCTCTGTTTATTTTTTACCCCTCTGTGAAAGGCTGATACTGAATGATGACAACTGGCCATATGTGCCTGCACAGAGGAGTGTGCCGCTGAAAACAACCAAATGAATTTTGATCTGACCATTCTGACAGAGGCCACATAGGCAGAGATATGAATTTGGATCTAGGACCACATATATAACAGGCTGAGATCTGATCTGAAAAAGTCCGATTTGGTTTGTTTACACATCTGTGAAAAGATCAGGTGTGAGTCACTTTGGTTCACTTTTCAGCATGTAGTTTGAACAAAACTTTAGTTTACAGCTGTTGTGAGCAGTGTTAATTTTGTCATCTGAATTTGATTTAGTATTGGTCTCTTTTGATTTTTGTAGTTTTAATCAACAAAAACTAAAGACATCTTTTTGTCATTTATATCCTGCATCTTAAATGTTTATATCCTCTAAGCATTCTGAGATTACAGCTGTTGCTATCATTCTTGTGTACAGTTACCATGTTTACAGGTAGAGTGGTCATTTATTTTTGAGGTGTATTTGTTCACAAACAGTGACCACGTCGCACTGCAGAGCTGCAAGTAAATCAGGACTAAAACCCCGTTTACTGGGTTTAGCTTGAGGGGAGAAGCTAAATATTGGATAAATTCAATACAGTGACGCTTCTCCAGCGATCATCCAGAGGAAGATTTGGTTGATTGTGGCATTAATCCTGGAACCTACTCATTCTTTTTGATAGCAGCGTTACATTCACATCCAGAGCACTTCATGATGAATTTTCCTAACTTTTCATAAAAACTGGTGTGTGGCCTGCATGTACACGGTTTTTCTCAGATATTTTTCAGTGTCTTTTTATTTAATTCTCAGTGGACTGTAGATTATTGTAGTGCATAAATACATTATTGCCACGAAACGGTAGCGTGAGATGACAGAGACAGAATGTTATTAAAAGTAAGACACTTATTAGCAATAGTGCAAAAGTTCAAGTGGCTAAACCAACTTCTGTGATATTTTGGGTGAGGAGCTACAGTTTCTAATTCCACAGGTGCTGCCGGTCATTGAATAAGATGTGAATTGGATTAAGCGTTAACATAGTCAGTACTCCAAGTACATTCATCCAACTTCCACGTTATTTAATTTTTATTTGTTGACAAAAAATGTCAAATGTTTTATCATAGTTCTTTTTATTAAATGTTACTTTTAAGTTTTAATCTCATTTTTGTCATGAAAGTAGGTTGCCAACAAGTGTATAGTCAGTTTTGTTGAAGAAAATGTCCATTAACATGGGTGCATTCTTCAGAAACACCTACACAGACGATCTCACAATGGAATCATTGTATTTCTGTTTGTTTTATACAGAGCCCACATTGGAAAGAGGCCCAAAACATTCTGAAGCTGGTAGTGTCTCGCTCAGCCAGCCTTGTTGTCCCGGATGATGTGCAGCGCTCTTACAGCACAGAGTCATGTGGCTCTCCAGAGATTGCCTTTACACGGATATTCAACAACTCCTCCAAGGAGCTGCCTGGCAAGACTCTGGATTTCCACTTTGACATCTCAGAGGTCAATGCCCTCCCACTCCAGTTTTCCCATGGCACAGTTATCTCAGTGTTGTCACTATAAGGATGTTCTCTGCCTTATTTTGTTGCTAACTAGTGTTGTTTGACTTTATAGACCCCTATTATAGGGCACAAATATGGTGATCAGCGTACTGCAGCAGGTCGGAATGGAAAGCCACAGGTGATTGCTGTGACTAGGAGTACATCCTCTACATCGTCCGGCTCCAACTCCAATGGGCTGGTGCCAGTAAGCTGGAAGAGGCCTCAACTCTCTCAGGTACCTGCTCAGACAGACACAAGACATCCAACACAAGCAGAAGGTGGGAGGCAGCAACTGTCTCAAGGTGAAGCTGATCCAAGCTGTTTGTCATTTGGATCTGATGTGTGCCCAAAATAACCAACTCAGCCATGATGGTTGTGCTTAAAGCAACTTAATGGATCTCAAATGCTCGTGCTCTCTCACTCTATACAGTCCAGTGTGTGTCATTTTTTGTACAGATAGTACATTCTGAGACAAGTTTTGTCTTTTTTTTTATGCATTCTTGTTACAGAGAAGAACCAGAGAGAGGCTGATGAATGTTCTGTCTTTATGTGGCCCAGAGACTGGCATTCCCAAAAATCCATCTGTAAGACTCCTCTCCTACTCTAAAGCCTCAGACAAGGTCTCTGTAATTTCAGTGTTAAGAATACTGCTGTTGGGACTACACTGTGTTTTAATCATTGTTTACTTTGACTGATTTGAGTAGTTTGTATGGACATTAACTGTGTTTTACTATTAACAACAAACACTCTTTTTTTTCTTTCTATCTTTTTTTTTTTGCCCTTGCGTTACAGGTGGTATTCTCATCCAGTGAGGATCTGGACTCTGCAGACCAACAGACCAGTCTCATACCCACAGTGGAGGAGGTGGTCAGAGAGGAGGAGATGCAGGGAGAAGATACAGGCAGTGAGCAGCAGTTTGGTGTCTTTAAGGACTTTGACTTCTTAGATGTGGAGCTGGAGGATGCTGAGGTGAGAACTTGCAGTAAATTTGACAAGGCTTCTTTGCAGGTCTGCCAAGCTGGAAAAATGTGGTCATTGTGAAAACACTGATGGAAGTATTGAAGAGCTAATAGTGGGTAGCTAAAAGAAGAAATCATCTTAAAAAGATTAGTTTTTAAATCCCCTTGCATACTCAGCTCTGTCATTCTTCATCACTACTCTTGACCAGTCAGTATTTTGTTGTTGTTCCACATTAGCGTGTCTGTCTTGCTTGTCCAACTTATTTGTCCTAACTGCTTTAGTACAGAAACATCTGTGTTTTGTAACTGTCTTAAGTCTACTAACACACTTATTCCTTCTCTTCTCTTGCCACAAGGAGCTGCAGGTAAGTCTGTGGACCAGAACGCTTCTTAGATGTGTTGTTCTCTGCCGTGCCATTGTGTCTCTGTGTTGTCAACAAATAAAGAGCTTATAGCACTCTTTGATATGAAATCATTGCTGCTGAGATTATGAACGCTTTGATAGTTTTGGAACATTGCATCACATGCCATCCCAAAGTGTGGATAGAAATGGTATCATCCACTCATGCAATTGTTTTTTTTTGTTTTTTTTAAGTAGTGAAATGTTAATATGCAGTATTTGTTTTTCTTGTGCTTTTTCTTGTTTTATAAAATTTGCAAAAACTTGCCCATAGCCTGCTGTGGTACACACGGTCTCACTGCTGTTTGCGCGGTTGTCCTGCAGGGGGAGAGCATGGATAACTTCAACTGGGGGGTGCGTCGTCGCTCCCTGGAGAGCATGGACAAAGGGGACACACCGTCTTTGCAGGAGTGTCAGTACACAGGCAGCACACCAAGCCTCAACCTCACCAATCATGAGGACACGGATGAATCATCTGAAGAGGAGGTACTGAGCGCTAGCCAGATTCTCAACCGCTCTGGCCTTGTAAGTCTCACTCTAATCAGGGCCCCCACCCTACCGAACCCACCATGCTCCTCACACAGCCTGCTTGGCATGGTGTGAATGTGTGTGTGTGCATACTGAGCTGGACCTGCTGCCAGTGTGGACAGGGGGCTAGATGTTTGCTTCTTCACTGGTGGTAGATGCCCTCTTCAAACCTCACCCCAGTCCCTCTACCTCTGACTGCTAGATTAATGCTACTGCCCTTTCTATTTGTTTTTATTTTTACAGTGGGTGAGTACAGTGTAGGAAAGTTTTAATAAGTGGGTAAATCCTTAATATTGACAAGACAGAATTTAAAAATAAAACTAGATCTTTATAATTCCATAAAGTTTATTAAATGCAAGTTCGAGTATAAGCTGTGATTAGTGTTAGATTTCAGAACGACTGCATATTCCTTTGCATTTATTAATAGGCTGGCTGCTTGTCCTTTATTCTTATTTCCTTTGCTTTGCTTTGTAAGCAAGGTCATATTGAAAGCTGCTAATAATAATAACATTAATGCTTCCTGTCAGTCTAATGGGGATGTTTTCTTTCTCTCTCCTGCTTTTCTTGATAGTGCACGGTGAGAGAATGAGCTTTTTGCCTTTAATGGACACTGGCCCCAAAACTGTTTGCAGTATTCCGCTGTTATATTAACACTACAAAACAGCATGCATTGTTAATGTGATTTAAACTGAATTTTGAACAAGTTGAGTGTAATATATAGTGTTATTGATATTGACATGATCTTCCTTTCTGCCTGAAGCAGGTTCAAAGTGCTGAATCAGTTGAATTGAAGACTAAAATGACTAAACATGCTCTGCTTAACACAGAAACATGGATAAGCTAATAATGTATAGCTAATAATGAGAGTTGAGTACATACGAACATATTAAACTCAGCATATCAAATTATGTTCTACCCACAGTAAGCTCATAAGGAGTGTCAGCAGTGTGTAGCAGTGTTTTGTTTATTGATCTATTTGGTTTGTCAGCAGAATGTTTTAAGTACATTTACTATGTTAACTAGTAAAAAACACTTTTAAAAAATGTCTTATAGTAAACAGTTCAGCCTCTCTGATGATGTAGTGACAGATATAGCCCTTAGTGTACTTTTAATAAGGCCTAGTCTCAAACTAGATGATGTGTAATACAGTCTGTATTGTGTTCGTACAGCTAACCAGGCCTTATGTTTTTCTCCAGCTCAACAGTGACTTTGCTACAGATGATGCAGCTTCCAACCATGTGGATTCTTTGCAACAGTCTCAAGAATCCTCCAGCAGTGCTCTGGCTGAGGAGGCAACTGTCCTGCCCTCACTACCTTCTCTTCCCCGATTGGATAGCCCCACTTTGGAGATGGCCCACTCAGACAGCACCAGCAGCCAGCTGCCTGAGGTGCGATCAGACGGGAGCAGCAGTAAACTGTGGTGCTCGGCTGCTTTCTAGCTTCTCTATTTGACTTTCTCTTCAGCCTATATCTGTGTTTGTTCTTCTTCTTGGCATGTCTGTCATTGAGGCAGAGGTTTGGCTACCTTTAGGTAGTTTTGGATGGGGTAAAAGTGCTCGTTCTATAACTGTGTCCACCTGCTGTCAGGTTAAGACATTGTGCGCTGCGTTTGCTGCTTCTGCCGCCTCCTACCATTGCTTGCTTTGTTGCTCTGCTCTGGGAGGGTGCCGAAGGCTAGCTTTTGCTCCCTTAATTGCTACGCGGTGGGGCTTGCTTGTGTGATTTTGGGAGCGATTAAAACCAAACGCTCACCTCAGGTCAGCTGTTACTGCTTCATCCCAATAACACTGCTACTGACCAGCCCAACTAAATCCTCCATTAAAAACTTGTGAAATGGACACCAGCTCCTTTATCTTCAGCTGATGCATGTGAGTATGAGACCACTGCAAGTGGTGTGATAACTTTAGAAGTGCTGTTAACTAAAACCGAGTGGTGCTCTAGCCAGTGAAGCCCTTTCACTTTGCCAGTGTATTAACATACCCTCTTGTAAAACAGCTTTGTTGTATACTGCTACTGACATTTAATACTCATACTAACGATGAGTAAATTATGTTGTCTTGACTTAAACATGTACTGATAAGTTGTTGTTCCTGTCCCTAGATGATAGTGCTCCATTCACACAACTGAATCTTAACTTTCTAGGTACTTGTTCTAGCCAGTGGTCTCAGTATCATCCCAAGGACATCTCCCCCATCACAGCTTTTAGTGTAATGAGCCATAGATAAAACCATCAATACACTTATGCATTCCCTCCGGGATGGCCACGACCACTTCTGAAAGCTTTCTGTAATAAAGCTGCTGTCTCTGTGATGTACTGGCTGCCTGCCACACTCAACCTTTACAATGTATTAGACTTTTAAATTAAAAAAAAAAAAAGACAAGAAAAAAACAAGCAAGCTTAATTGGAGCACCTTCTCTTTGCCATCGCCCAGCATGTCCCTTCTCCATGTACATGCTTTACATCAGTACGGTTACTCACCATGGAGTTTCCTGTGTCTGAGCCAAACACTGTCTGGTTTGCTTTTTAAATATAAATATATTCAGTTGTGGATTAAAAGACGTGTAGGCTCACTTAGTGTGAGCTCGCTGTTGCTTATTAATGTTTGCTTGTAATTCTAATGCTGTCCATCATTTATGTTGACTGTTCATCATTTTATTTATTCATCATCACAGATAAATCAGTCCATTCAGATGTAACATGTATATACATCTCTCATCTTTTATCTTGTTGGCCTGAGTCCCTGTCATTTCAATGCCATACTGATTCTTTAGCTTTAATTTCTTAAGAGCCATTTTTACGTAAGTGAACATTACAAAATGTGTTGACTTGTATTCAAACCATGTTCTTAAATGTACACTGTAGAAGGCTTAATTCAGGCTATACAAAGGTAAAGAAGGTAAAGCAGTGAACCTGTGTTCTCCAGCTGTCTTTAATAGCTGTCACGACAATCAAATAATTCAGCTGTTACTGTATAAAAATATTGTTATAATAATCGATGTTGTATCATCTGCTGATCTGCTTCTGAGCTCCCCCTTCTGGCTTCATGTTACAGGATGCTGTAAGCATGATGGCAGCAGACGAGCTGAGCAGCAGTGTGAGTGAGGACACAGGGTTTTGCAGTGCCCCCCCCATGCCCTCTGACCCGCCAGATCTCTGTGACCTCGCAGACTCACAGGACCCTCAAGATTCTCAGGATCCTCGGGAAGACCTGGAGCCAGCCCCCCCTCCCCTGCTGGTCATAGAGACGCCACCAGGGTCCCTCTGTGAGGAGGAATCCCATATAGTCATGCCTCTATCTCTGCCCCTGCCCATGCCACCAGAGGCAAAGCCAGAGCCAGACCCAGACAGCACCTGTGACTCTATGTGGGAAGAAGATGTGACACAAGCCCTGAAGGAGCTGGATGAGCGCTGTGTGGAGGAGGAGGCTGAATTCTCTGGCATGTCCAGGTAAGTGAAGCAGGAAATTATTTTGGACCAGGACCACTCATGGAAATGTAAGACTCCTGGAAAATCTGCATAAATCACTGTGTGTATGTAAACTCAATAAATGCCAGTCACTGAGTTTTTAACACACATTTGCTCTGGGCCTTGTTCCATATTTTACATTTTCTGTCTTAAGTAATAACTGGAACGTTCTCGCTATACATGCATGTGTCCAGAGCCAGAGAACCGAAACAAGAGAGATGCACTACAACCAGCATGAATTATGAAAGGTTTACTTTATAAAACCAATTCTGATGTGGGAAAACGAACAAAGATCTCTCAACATACTATAGGTACTAGAAAACTATAAATGGTGATGTGCTGAAAAAGGTGACCTCCTCTCACATTGGACAGTGTTTCCCACGGTGTTTCATATGCAGGGAGCCCAGCCTCACCTGAAAGGAAAAAAGAAAGAGCCTCATATTTTTGAGTGAGATGATGGTTCCTCTGTTGGTTCAGAACAGCAAGTGATCAGTCGTTCTCTGATTGATTACGTTGAATGTTTGTGTTCTAGTTATTAATTGCCGCAGCATGTTGCAATGTGCAGATAAAAGAAAACCTGAGTGTTTTACAAGGCAGTGTTTATCTCTTCCACTAACCAGTTTCCTTGGGTGAAACCCTGATTAAATACAGCAGTGTTATTAAATACAGCTACATGTTTTTGCATTATCATTTTTTATTGCGATTAAAAAGTCATGTCAGTGGCTAAAGGGAGAGTTTGGGTATGGCTACTGAAGATATATGGATTACAATGTGTGGACAGTGGAGCTTCTGTGAGATGAAGATTTTTGAGATGGTTTGATGGTAATTTTGTTCTTTGGCTTTGCTCCCATGTGGGCTTGCGACTATGGAGGCGGGCCAGGGAATGCTGGCTCCAATATACATTCCCTGTTCAATGTGGGCCAGTTCTGGCTGAAGGACAGTGTTAAGTCAGTTTTAGATTGACCTCTAGCAATATGAAGAAACAGTAATGAACAAACACACACACAAAAGTAGTAACTTGGCCTCCTACAGTACTAGCATATATCACTGTACTCAAGGTCTTTCACTTAGATAAACTGCACAGGATTTATAGGAAAGTGTGTGAGTAGCTCATACAGTGAGTGATTGGCTGAAAACAGCAGGACACTAAACAGTTTAGTGGTTTTCTCTGTACTAGTATTAATGTGAGTGGAAGAGAGTACAATAAAAGCAACTCGGCAACACTTCCCCAATGTGAGTTTGGGAGCTGGCTCTGTTTTGCAAGTGCTTGTATGTGTCAATGTGTGTAGATGCTCGTGTGGAGCTCACTGCAGTCCTGTGTGGGATGGGAGTGCAGCGCACAGTTAGTACTTGTAGCACAGTCGTGCTGCAGACAAGGGAGAGAGAGTAAAGGAAAAAAAGCAGCGATAGCTGGGGTGAGGATGAGGACAGAGACTGTGTCCGCTGCAGCTCTCGGCAGTGCAGGCTTTAGATACTTATATTCTGTCTGCTTCTTCAGACTGTTTGGTCCCACCGGCCTGTAAGTACCTGCTGTGTGTTTGTGTGTCTGTGCATGTTGGAGAGAGAAATATTTGCATGATGCTAAAATGCTAATGGCTAATGTTGTTGTTGTGCTCGAGCGCCGCAGTAGTATACTCTCTCAGTATACTGCAGCAGAGTCTGCAGTGAGGGAGGCAGACAGCACTGTGGGGTTGCAATGAGTGACGACAAGTATGCATGTGTTTACATGTGTCCTTTGGTAAAGACTGAGGGCAGTGTAAAACATGTCAGACTGTAGCTCATTGGCCCCCGTGTGTGTTTCAGTCAGGATGAAGGTGACGCAGACTGCTTCCCAGAGATTCAGGCCTCTCCGCCCCCTTCACCCTTCCTCTCTGCCATCCTGGCAGCATTCCAGCCTGTTGTCTATAACAGTGAGGAAGATGCTTGGCGTTGCCATGTCAACCAGATGTTGTCAGATACAGATGGCTCCTCTGCTGTTTACACGTTCCACGTGTTCTCTCGACTCTTTCAGGTAACTGCCTGCTAATTGTTTTTTTTTGGGGGGGGGTATTTTTACCTTGTTTGTTTGCCACGACTGCACCATGTCTGCTGCATCTACAGTCTTGTTTACCAGCGAGCATTCTCATCATGATTTTTATTATTTTTTTTTTTTTTATTCCACATCCTTGTTGAGTACAGAGCATTCAGAGGAAATTTGGCACCATTACACATGCATCTGTTCACTTTCTTGGGGAAAGGCTCCAGCGAATGGGTAATCAGTTCCTCAGCTCCCTGGAAGTCATGACATCTTGCTCCCAGTGCCCCACTGTGCTGCTGGATGCAGAGACGGTGAGGCTGCTCTGCATGGTTGTCTGCAGTCATTTTAATAGAACTGAGAAAGCTAAAATGTAATTTTGAAGTATTATGTTAATTATTTTGCAAACAGTCTTGCATGTGATGCATATTCCTTAATATGTGTGTGTGTCGTGCTGTAGATATTTTTGTGTCACGTACTGTGTCCGTTTTGGATGGTGTTGTGGGTTAATGTATGTGGTGTCCTGTCTTGCTGTTGTAGCTGGTCTCTTGTGGACTGTTGGAGACTCTGAAGTTTAGTGTGCTGGAGTTGCAGGAACATCTGGACACTTACAATGCCAAGAGAGAAGCAGCGGAGCTCGTAAGTCACTACATATTTTCCACACTGACCACAACTGTTTGGAACCTTTTTCCCTCAGGACTCCTTGCCTTACATCTTCTGTGATTCTGAACACAAATGCTGTTTCACTTGGTGGTGGTTGTCAGGGGTTAAAAGAACTGTTTCGTAATGGGCTCTCATCTTAAGAGAGATGAGCTTACAAAGGGTGTGTAAATTCCTCTTTTTCCCTATGTCATGGTGCAGTGGAAAGCCAGGAGGACATAAAGACAAATAGCTGATGCTCTACAAGATAAGCTCCAGTCTGTCTCATCAGCGGGGCAGACATTGAATCAGTGTTAGGTATGAGGACATTTAGCTGCCATTAGTGTCTGTATCACTAATGACGTCCCCTGCTGAAGGGATAAAAATAGCCCTCAGTGCTCCTAAATCAGTTATAGCAGGCCAGCCAGGAGAAGCTGTGAGAGGTAGGAGGGGGGATGAAGGGGGAGGGGAATGAAGAGATGAGATTGTAGAGGGTTCTGGGATGCGGTGGTGCCAATTGAGTGAGACAGCAATGGTCTCTGGAGGACTAGGTACTATCCCATGCTCCGGAACAGGCCTTCTTTAATTCACTGAGTACACTCTTATTAAATCTCCTCCCTGACCAACCTTTACTGTATGTACACACAAATGTAGACGCACATGTCCAAGGAAGGAAAAAAAAACCTCTTGTACTTCTCTCCTTCCCCTAATCAGTGTGTTTTTATTTTTCCTGTCTGTCACCCATGTCTGTCCACCTCACCCTGTAGTGGCTGGAGAACTGTAGGAAGACATTTGGGGACAAAGACGGCAACCAGCAACCTAACACTCATACACAGGTAGGGTTGAAGACGTACCTGTCTGATGGCTGGGAATGTTGTTTATTTGTATTGATCAATAGAAATCTGGTGGAACAGTTGAAGAGTACAACTGAATGATGAGCAGGTGAATTATGCCTGTGCCTTGAGACTTATAGTCTGACTAAAATTAATTGCGTGAGAAATGTATATACATTTTGGATTCATGATGATATTCCCTGTCTTTGCATTCATTTGTTGTGATGCTGTTAGTTCTCCATTTATACATCTTGTTTCCATACAGCCAGAACCTTAAACCATATTTGCATGAAGCAGTAAGTGTCTTTATTGGATGGTTACACTGACAGCCAGACAGGCCGCTGCACAGCACAAGACCCACAGACTCTGAACAATAGCAAACATTAGCTGTCCTGCTAAAGCCCCCTTCCTATCTAAGCTACAAACAGGAACACACATCTTGTTCCGGACCTTAGCTTTTTGGACAAGCCACCAAACATCCACCGGGGAAAAGTGCACTGCGTCCAGGCTACACAACTGGTTAGCTGCTCAGCTGCAGCCTGTTAAACATCATGGCCAGCTGTTAAACGTACAGCACAAGTTAAGTTTGCTTTCGTTTCCCTGCTGGAGCTTACCCTACCAGCCGCTGTCAGTCAAACTCAGACACACACACACACACGAGAATTTCAAGATAGACATTCAGGTTTTCCCACTTGTAACTCAGTTGCCCTCAGCTGCTTGGAGTCCTTGCAAGGTCTCTTGCATCACATCCCAGTGCTGACCTACTTGCACAGATCTGTGGACTTCATAGTCTTCCCTCTGTGATGTCCACCCTCAGAAATACTGCGTAATACTGATGTGCTCTTTTAATCACACTGGCAACATGAGTCTCTCCTCCACTCTTCTTCCTCTCTCTGTGCCCTCTACTTTTTCATACTATTTCTGTCCATCACACTGTACATGCTCAGGCTTTCAGAGAAAAGGTTTCTGTCACTGCTGAACTGAGCTCACATGTTTGGTCACTACGCCTTCCCTGACCTGTGTGGAGGGAAGCTGATGAAGCACTGCTCCTTGCTCTTCAGGTCACTGTGTCTCCGCTGCCATGTTAAAGCTCACTAATTCTTGGTCTTTCTCTCCTTCTGTTTTTTTTTTTGTGTGTGTGTGTGTGTGTGACCTGCTCACCTTCTTGCTTAGCAAATGGAAAATCTAGCAGTAAGTGGTTCTTATATTATAGAATCTTTAATAATCATGACATCTGGACAAAACGCTGTCCATCCATCTTTCTGTAAATGCCCGAACTGTTGACAGCCACAGGCTGCGCTCTGCCTCTGCCTCTGCCTCTACCACCCATGTCTGCATCAATCAGCCATGAAACCTCAGCTCGGCTCCCCCCCATCCATCCAATCATAACGTACTCCTGCTGTCCTGCTTTCTTCTGTTGCTACATCCTGACTGGATAATCAGCGGCTTAACCTTTTTTCACCGCACACTGATTCTGTCTGCCGTTAGATGAAGAAATATAAATTCAGTGTAGAGTTACTGTGATTTCAGAGGAAGCTGCTGCCCAGGGTTATCAATAGGAGAGGACATTCTTATCAGGTTTAGATTACTTTCATTTTGCATGTTTATTGTTCCATTCCCATATCCTTTTATACTATTTTTCACCCTCGATGTTTTCCTGGATTAGGGATGTAACTTTTAACAATTGTGCACTTTGTCTGGGCCATCCATCTAGTCAGCCATACTGGTCACATTGGCCTGTAGGGAGTGTCACAGGAGGTGAGATCTCATGACTGATTCTAGTAGTAGCAGACTTGCCTCTTACTCCATTGTCCAGACCGGATGGCACTTCATTATAGGCCATGTTAACCCTTTCATCTACTCCCATGTCTCTAACCCAGGGTTATCCATCTGTCTAATCATATGATCACCCTTGTCATTGTAGTGTAACCCAGGGGAATATAAGCCGACATGTAAACGCTAATTGTTTTCTGTCTCTGTAGGAGCTGGAGTTGTGTCGCAGGCTCTACAAGTTGCACTTTCAGCTGCTGCTGCTCTTCCAGGCCTATTGCAAGCTCATCAGCCGGGTGGACACCATCAAGAGAGAGGCAGAGGTGAGGCTGAAACACCCTGGATGTGGGGTTGGGTCACTGCTCCAGCTGGATGGGCGTTAATACATTTGTCGTTCAGGTTTCTCCAGATAATATGTCTGTAATGCATTTTACATGTAGCTGGATTTGAAGTGTTTCTAAGAAAGGCAGCATGATCCAGTTTACACATCTTACCCTTGTCAGAGAAATGAGAACACACACATTCCTTATGTGGCATTATGTTGTCACAGCCCAATTTAACATCAAAATAAAACATCAGTTACCAGTAAGGTGTACTCTAAAATTCAGTCCAGGCGTTTGTTAAATGTCTTCCTTTAACCACAAGTTAGATACATTTTAATTGTTGAATCCATCGTGCAGTTTGTCCTGATCTGGGCGGCATCTCAGCTAAATTAGATTAAAGTCCATAATAAAATTCAACAGTTCTCATGTGGAGTGATGGGTTTATCTTTTCCAGTTAATACTTAATCAGATCAATAGTTTTTCTGACCTCCTGGGTGGATTTTGCACATCTACGTATGCTATAAGATGCAGCTCTGTGATGTTAATGAGTTTGTCTGTTTCTCAGGTGACCAACATGTCTGAAGAACTCAGTATCCTCGAGAGCTGTCTGAAGGAGGCAGAGATAGGAACGGATGGTCAGGAGGATGTGTGTATGTCAGACACCGCCCAGACCAACACAGAGACAGCCATCCACTCACTGATTGAGACTCTGAGAGCCAGAGACTTCAGCTCTGCCCTCACACAGGTCAAACTGTTTAGGTAAGATGGACAAACCAGTAACACAACAAAGAGACAATTCAAACTGAATCGTTAACGCTGAAATTCTAAATGAATAATGTCATAGTGCCAAAATGTCACAGGTTCAGCTTTTTAGATGTGATTTTGACAATAACTAAATTAAACAAATATTCTAACTGATCCTGAATTAATCGTTATTTGCATTATTAAAATGTGATGGTTTTTCAGGTTCCCACAACATTAAATATGACTTAAAACATGACGAGCACTCCTGTGAAGCCTGCACAAGCAGAAGTGCCTAAAGCATTGTTTTGATGTCACAGGGAGCTCCACAGTCAGCTGCTGTCAATCTTACACTACAGCCAGAAGAATTCACATCACGCTAAAGACGAGAACCTGCCATCTGTTTCAGTCTGCCCCAAGCTTGATGCTGCGTATTATGGAAATGTTGGTGAAATTTGCTGTGAATGAAAAACAGCTACCGACCTTCTGTGTCTTCCATTTTTTTGGAAAGCATAGCTTTGCAAGCTAGCAGTTACATACTGTAACTCTGGCAGAAATCTAGTGTAATTAACCAAAGTGACTGAGGAAAAGCAGTTCAAACTACTTTGTGAAAAACATGATCAAATGGACAGTGTACATGTGATACAAAGTGCAAAAATGCCTCTCAGATGAGTTTATAACCTGAGACCTAAAGCTGTCCTAAACTAAACAGTCCCATCTGGGCTTTTCACAAGAATGAAATTTACAAGGAACTTTATGTTTTTCTTGTAAACAAATCTGGATTTTGCCTTATCTGGCTACAGCCAAAACAGTAAAGAGAGAAATATTTAACTTTTTTAGACTGTTTGACTGACTTGAGCACTGGTCAAAAAAAAAAAAGGACTTGTCTTGTCAGTTCTGTAACATATGACTTGTACAGTCTTACCACCTAAAACAGTCTCCAAATTGCTCCTTGTGAGACAGTGTGAACACCTTGAACACTGCTCTAAATAATGGACCGATCCTACTTGTCAGAGCAGAATCTCTTGTTTGTACGACACACAGGTGCCTCTCAAAGCTCATATCCAGGTGGTGGTTGAGTTTGGCATTGAAAATGTTTGTGCTGGTGATGAAAAGCTGCTCACATGCAGCACTGTAGAATAAAAATAAAATTCATTCTTTTCCTTTTAGGGCTCAAAGCTGTTTGTCATTTCAGTAGTTAACTACACAAATATGACGAAGTATTTGAACTGCTTGAATCACTATACAAATATGAATGTAGTTGAACTACCAACAAGCTACTGCAAAGTGAGTTCATCTACACATAGTTCACTACTCCCCAGACAGAAACATTTGATAATGAAATGAAAATGGTCCAAACTCCCATAAGCTGAAAAGAAACCTGTTCTTCTTGCTGCTACGAACACATTCTGTATGATCACACTTTTGTTCTTCAGAATCATACCTGCATGTACTAACTGCTCACCCTTTCTATCATCAGGTCTTTGTGGCCCAACGACATCTTTGGCAATGAGACAGACGATGCAGTCCAGACCCTTCTGCACATCTACTTCCGTCACCAGACGTTGGGTCAGACAGGCTGCCTGGCAGTAGTTGGCCCCAGCAGGGATCTGTCGCAGGCTAGTGCCCGCCTCATGGAGCTCAACCTGCAGATCCGCGAGGCTCTGAGTCAGGCGCAGGCCTGCCAGCCCCACACCACCATGATCAGCACTGGACTGTGAGCCTGTGTACTGCAGACTGCAAGCCTGGACTAGACAGGACAAAAAACAAAAATCCCTCCTTCCCCCTGCTCTATACAGACCTCATGTCAGCTGCAGAGAGAAGGTAGACAGCGATGGCTTCAGAGGACGACGAGACGGACTCCACCTTAAAGGGCTAAAGGATGCGTGGGAATAACTGTGACTCATAACATATTGTTACAAGTATGAATGCTTAAAATTAATATCTTTTCCCAGACTAAGCCAACTTGCAGAATTCAGTTGCAATAAGTTGTGGTGGTGTGCCTGGGAAGGAATAAGTGAGGAAGCAATGGAATGACAACTTCTTTTTTCTTTTGTTTTTTTTTGCTGGATCTGACCTGATGGGCCGGTCGTTCTGACCGGTGGCGGCTTCAGGGCCTGGGCTGGAAAACTGTGTTGCTGTGGGGTGAAGCATGTAAGACAGTCCAGAGGAAGTGTCATATGTGTGTGGACACACCATCAGGATTCATAAGCAGACAGATAAAGGTTTTCAGAAGCATGCTTGGAAGAGAAAAGCACTGCAAGAATATTTTTTGAGAGATGTATTTTTTATTAGAGCTAACATCCTAGGTTGTAAATGTTAGGATATTTAACATGTAATTGTAACCCTGTGGGACACATTTGCCTTTAAAGAGTGTAAAAAGAGAAATATGTTTATTGATCTGCTTTGAGAGGAGAGTCCCCTTCAACAGGTCTTCATGCAAAACTCGCTAACCAAATGAGTAGCTGCCTTTAGAGACTGGGTGTGTTATATATTGATACTCGGGTATACACCCACATAAAATGCATATAGTTGCACTCAAGTGCAGACTGGCTACAACTCATTATGGAAACATAACTTATTTTACTCTGTATATATTTTAGCAACTGTATAGTGTAAAACCAGTATTTTTCCCTTGTACTTTTGTGTAATGCACTGTTCATCTGAATAGGATGTATGTATAAAGCTAATGTGATGAGAAAGCCAAGACCAGATGTGAGTCAATCTGCTCCACCTCAGTCATCCAATCATGCAAACTAGCAGGCTTCATAAAGGCTGCCCTGGTTGGTTGTTGGGACCAGGGCTCATGGAACAAGCCACCTTGATGGTGGTGGCCTGAGATCAGATGTAGCTTCCCTCTCCTGTTGGACCGCACCAATCCAGCCAAGCATTTTCTCCAATGATTTTTTTTTTTTTTGATCAGCCCCCCACTTCAAGCCTTGAAGTTAAAATTTGCATTAGTCCATGTAGGTTGATCACATTTTGGGTTTTCAGAGGACATGGCTGACACTGTGCCATACTTTCAGATTGGCTCTACTTGCTGCTGTACCTGCAGGACATATTACCTGAAGGCTTTTTGGAGCTTTGGTCATGGCACATTAACTGTACTCATTCCTGAGCTTCTCCTCCCATGCTGGTCTGGTACAGTTGAATACTATTAATGTAGTTACGTGGAAGATGTTTGAGGTGCATTATACTTTGGTTCATTCACATACCAGCCTTCTCTCAATGAATAAAGCCCAACTACACAGTATCAGCCTTGTCTCAAGTTATTAAGAATGGAAAACTAGTCAGAAATCTGTTTGGGATAAGGTTAAATAGTGACTCCCTGCTGCACATGGACCCAGAGCAAATTTTTATTCTATAATGATCAGCACTAATCTCTAATCTGAAGCCCCTACAGGAAGCAGCTGCCCAACAGGGCCGCAGACAGCTAAAGGCACCACATAGCATCTTAGTTTTTTCCTCCACTGACAGGAGCTTGGACCATGCTTAGAAAGGGAGGAAACCAGCTGCAAGGTATCCCATTTATTACATTGTAAAGTGTGGTGCTTGCCATCAATTTCAACAAAACAGGCATGAAATAAAGTTCTGAAACATCAAATACATAATTTGCATCTGCCAGTTATGGCACTGGGCGAAGACATGCCCACACAGGGCTGCTGAGACGTTCAGCTGGATACTCAGATGATGTATTTGAAGCTGAAAGTGCTGTCGCAGGAGAGCCGCTTGCCTTTGCATCTGCCGCACAAGTCCTGTCTGTGGGGCCGCTTGGGGTCAACGTGGCGTTGTGTTGTTGCACAAGAACAACGTGCTTTATTGCAGTTCTAAGGAGACAAAGGAAAGGCCTGAGTTGAGCAGAGACACAAGCCATTTGAGGTCACAGAACAAGAGGGGGGGGGCTTACATGGCATGTGATGTCCTCAACACGGTACGGGTTGAAGTCCTTCATGCATTTCCTACAGTACTGTTTGAAGTAAACCTGGAACACAGTGTGGTGATAGGGCTGGCGTATCATACTGCAGCTTTGAAATATTATGGCCCAGTCAAGGTATTAAAACCTTTGATCCACTTTGACAGAACCACATCTGCTACTGTGGCCACAAAAGCAGATGAATCACTGCTACACTGAAATAGTTGATTCACCTTGCTAAGGCCCGATTTGGTGAAGTTACACCAGTACTCACCTTGTTGGTGCCCTGAACACACCACACATAGGCACTCTCCCAACGCAGGTTGCACTCTCTGCAGTGATAGTAGCCATACTTCTGTTCCAGGAACTGTTAGACAAGAGGAAAGTCAATGTTTGTGCACGGCAAGTGTCATTTTTAAAAATCCAACCCATCCCTGTGCAGACTGCTCCCTAGGCAATTACAGCTCAGTGGATCCAAAGTAAGCTCACATCAAGCTGGTCCCACATGAGGAAGTGTGTATTCCTAATGAGGTGGGACCAGTTACTAAAAATATACTCACCCTGAATTAAAACAGTCTACAGCTGTGACTCAGGCCATCCATTAAATCATTGAGTCCAAACGACTTTCTATTTTAGCCTGTGGAAGACATTTGAGAACTGTCCAACATGTACACTACAGGAGCATCCCAGTCCATTTCAGACTTACCTTTACGTTTTCATTTGTTACAGCTTTCTCTACGTTTCCTTGTGGCTGTTAGAAATACTACAGCAATCTTCACATTGGAAAATTATTCCTGTTATTGCCATTAGCCTTTAATTTAGGCCACTGAAGTTGTATTTCGTTTAACGACATCGTCATCCATAAACACACCTGTCCCGTTCCTCATGTCAAAGCTACCCTCAGCTGACCCACCTGAAAGCGCACACGCTGCGCCCTGCTCTCCGACCCCTCAGGAGTTGGCTGCGCACTTCCACTTTTCACCTGCTTGGATTTGGTCTTTTTCTGCTGCTCCGGAAGCTTTGCGGTCTTCTCATCTTCACCTGCCTGGTTTGCTTCGCTCTTCTTCCCGTCGCTTTTCTCCGCGGTCTCGGTCGCTTCACAGGGTGGCTCTCCGGTCTGCGCCTCCCCACAACAGGACTCGTTGTTGTTGTCATCGACCAGGAAGGAGGTAACACTTCGGTAGGCGATAGGTGAATATACAGCGAGAGTGCGGGGGTACCGCACATAGCCCGCCCCACTGGGGCTGCCACCGCCGCCGGGCGCATCCTCCTCTTGCGACGGAAGTCCCGCTTCATGGCCAGGAGTGTCCGCGGGCCGATTGAGCACTGCACCGAGGCGTCTCTCCTCGGGTTGACCTGCACCGCCACATCCTTGGTGTTTGCTTTCCGGAGCCTCGGGGTGAGTTTGGGATTAATTTGAGACAAGATGGACTTCAGCTGGGCGCGCTGCTGGTTGTTGAAGGCGTCAGAGGTGTCCCCATAGTGTGAGAGGTAACTTTCATATTTCCACCGTGTGTCCTTAGGCCTGGCATATCTGCCCGTGTAGGGGTTGTAAGATGAGTAGAAATAGCTGCCGACTGGTTCGTCACCATACGTTGCCATTTTGTTCAACCAACCCAGGTTTCCTGGTGTAGCTATTTAAATAGACCTGGCGCCATGAGCGCGTCATTAGGCCTAATCATGCTCAGGTGTGGGACTGGCTCCCTTTTCTCTCACTAAAGCAAACACGTAGCGAAGGTATTCAACTTTTCGTTTTATTCTGTACATCTTTTATTTCCTTGATACATTTGGTTGCGTTAGTTCTGTCTATGGAGCACAGACACTGGCTGGCACTGCGTGGTTCTGCACATGCACATTCTGATATGTAGTTTCGTCTGTGTGTGTATCTCTCTCTCACACACACACACGCACGCACACACACACACATACGCACACACTGCTCTTGCTTTGAAGGTGTAATTTTCACTTTATAAGTAACAGGAATGTTTTAAACACGTTGGTGAATCAGGCAATGTACGAAGCTTTATACGAAGCACCATTGTCAGCAGTCGGATCAGTGTTAAACATTCAGGATTTCCCTGCAGTGACAGAGATCAGGTCTTATTCTGCTCCACTACATCTGTATACATTTTAAATGTGCACATTAAACAGGAGCTGGATCAGGAGGACACGGGTCCAACACGATGGTGTTTGGGCCACTCACAGTCACAGCACCATAAGATGAGTCCAAGTCCTCATCATTGTGAAACCTTTGATATGTTATATCCGTGTCCTCGCCGTCCCCCTTGGGATCTGGTTTGTGCAGAATCTCCTTCCTGTACATCCTGTAGACCAGGATGAAGACGCCGGCCTCGGCTGCTTGGAACAGGGCATACAGCAGCGGGAACATGTACATCCCTCGAATGAGTTGAGGGGGGAAGGCTAGCTTCAGGATGGCTGTGCACAGCTGCACATTCTGGCACCCAGTCTCCAGAGACACCGACCTGCGGCTGTTGGGCGGCAGGTCGAAGAGCACAGCCAGGCCGTAACCTGCAGCGTAGCCGCACAGAGGCATCAGGACAGCCACCATGTAGACGGAGGGCGGGATGGTGGACAGGAGCTCCGGTCCCAGCATCGCTCCAGTCAAGATGAACAGCATCACAAGGGTGACCAGCAGAGACCACAGGGAGGCCTGGACAGAGAAGAATTCAGAATGAGAATTATTTTAACAACTGTCTTCTACGAGACTGGATCTTTTGCATGCCTGACACCCTGGAGGTGAACACCCCGTTTCTCTCCTCCAGTATTTTCCTGTTCAAGTATTCTTTTGTTTTGAGCTTTTCTTCATGCGATCTGAGGGTCTGCAAGGACAGAAGGGGTCCCTCTGAGGACAACTTCCTATTTAGAATTTTATAGGAGGCTAAAAATTGACTTGACTTTTTAAAGACCAGGCTGGAGTCTGTATTAGTGCGTCTCCACTGCCTGCTGTGTGTGGCTGTTATCAGAATGGGAGGGAGGAGCTCCTTCGGACATAATGCATCTGATGTCACTGTTTCTGCAGTCAGCCCACCCCCGTTCTCGTGACGCACTGATTTAGTCACTAACTGGTAAAGTAACTTGAATTGCCTTTAAAACAATGTCGGCCACACGCGTGTGGCGGTATCGCAGCATAACTCCCAAACCAATGGGGATGAGAGTGCTGCACAGGGTCAGGATTATGGCCCCGAAGGGCATGAGGTTGACCACAGGTGTGTTGATCCAGGCCCGGCTGTAGATCCATAGACACAGAGGCATCAACACGAGCGCCAGCAGAGTGGACGATATGGTCATGATGATGCTGGAAAGAGGAAAGCAAAAGGCGCTGTTATAGCAGTGTAGGACAGTTATGGGAAGCATGCAGAGCTGGAGCTATCCTGTTTTACATCAGTGTGAAATCATTTTAGAGCTCCAGCTGATAAATCACTACAGGTTGGTTTTCTGAGGAGCGCAGTAGATCTACCTCAGAGTCATCTCTCCGTTCACCAGCAGAGACATGATATTTGATAAGTTTCCTCCAGGGCAGCAGCCGCAGAGGAGAACAGCTATCGCCGCCACTTCATCCAGAGAGAAGGCTAAAGCCAACAGAAAGGCCACCAAGGGCATGATAACAAACTGACACACCAGAGCCAGCAGCACCCCGATGGGTCTGCGGATATGTTCTCCAAGCTGGCTAACCTCCACCGTGCAGCCCAGCCCCAGCATAGTAAAGCAAAGGACAAGTCCCACAAATACATTGACTCCGTGGCTGAGCGGGGAATCCCAAAAGGCAGGAATCAGGTGAGAGGGTTCCGTCGGCGCAGTCCTGAATGCGTTGTCTTCAATAGAGGTGGCACCACTGTCCACTTCCAGTCCGGCCATGACTCCCTCCTCCGGAGAATCCACGACTTGCTTCAAAGTGTCTGATATTAGAAAGTCTATCAAGCCAGTATTTTGTGCGTCCCCACCCAGCAGGCTTGAGTTCTCCATGGCGCAACAGGCGGACAAAGACTCTTCACAGTCGCCCAAATGCTCGTGCGTAAAATGATTCCCCTATGGCGCACGGTCACTAATAAGAAACCCCAGAGGATCCAGTGGTCTGAGAATATGATGGTGATGGACTCAGTGAATCAGACTGGTGCCACGGACAGACGCACATCCCAGGGCAGGGGCGGGGTTTAAACACGGTTTAAAGCGTCAGCCAAACTGGATGAGCCAATCAATAATGGCCAGGCTGCCCATATATACGTCTCCCCTCTCTCCGTTTTAGGACAAAAATCTCTAAAATAACATTTATTATTACAAACTCACAATTTCCCATTTGGAAGATTGTCCCCAGCCTAAGAGGGGAACATGAAGCCACGATGAAGACAGTTTGCTGAGTAAGCGCAGCCTGCATGAATGAAAATGGCGTTGATCTTTAAACAAGTGCAGCAACTGAGAAAAACGGCCGTGCTGTTTCCTTCAAGTGTGCGCATTATGCACGACTCCTCATAGAAAACCTTATGGCGGCAGGTTTAATATGTGATAGATCAGTGGTTGAAAGTAAGTAAGTACATTTACTTAAGGGCCGTTTTTAGGTATCTGTACTTAAGAATTAGCATTTTGTGCTACTTCATACTTTGACTTCAGTACATTTTAGAAGCAAATATTGTATTTTTTACTTCTACTTTTATAACTTTAGTTGCTTTTCAGAACCAAAATAATACAAAACAAAAATAACAGTATAATCATAAGACTTTATTGATCTTTGGTGGAAAAGTCCAAAGATACCCAGCAGTAAAAACTAGCTCCACCTTTACCAGCTGCAACATTAACTGCGCTGAACACAGTAAAGCATAAGTCATTCTAATCTTTTGGAACTGAGATGTATATTAAACCTTTTAATAAAATCCAAAAGAAGATTTAAGATTAAAGATTTTTATTTGCCATTTATGCATAGACAGACAGTCCAGGCATATAGGAATAAATGTGCCATATTATGTTATTTATTATTATTATTATTCATTTTTTGAATCACATTTGATACATGGGGCATTTTTAGCAACTTTTTTTTTCTCAGAAACTCGCGTAGCAAATATGATTCAAATGGTTTTATTGAAGTAAGGGATCTGAGTACGTCTTCCAGCACTGACAACTATAGCTCAACAGTCTCACCAACATTCATAACTGAGAGCAGACTTGATCAAAATTGCAGTAAGGCCGGAGTGGGACGGGACAGTTGGCATCAGTCAGTGACTCAGGCTTTTGTCAGTCTCTTCCCCTTCCTGAACACACACAGTGTCCCCCATTAACCAGTGGGGGACTGCAGGTACGTAATGCAAGAACAATGTGTGTATGGAATACATAATGTCATCTTCCCCTCAGCAGCTGGACATAAGACATAGAAAAGAAGTTAGACTCAATATAAACCAGTTTCCTTTTAGAATAATCTGTGATTTTACTGAGCTACTTCTCTATGTAAATCTGTTATTAAAGCAGAATTTAGCAGATATAAACACAGAACACAAAAGGTTTAAAGGGTACAATCATGAGTACACAATGTTTTAAGACAAATTGTGTTTTCAAATCTGAGTATGCAGCAGGGCTTCCTTTACTTCATTGTAAACGCCCGACTGAAGAGAGCAAAATGTTCATTTAAATGGAAAGTGATGTCATCAACCCTCACCTTTTAAATTAACACCAGGGGAGTTTTCCAGAGAGCGGGCTTAGTGAGAACCTGCTAACCCTGAGGTGGGGGAGATGTTCCACAAACAGAGAGCACTTCAGCTCTGAGTCAGTCTACTCGCTGCAGGCTGCTTTACCCTGCTGAGGCTGAAGGAGCTGTCTGACATGCTGTTTCATTTCCTCATTCATAGAGTCCGTATCAACGTGCACATTGGAGACGCACATCTGAAGATCAGAATCCTGATTGAATAGTACCCTTTTAGTTTGGTAACCAAGACATAGCTGTACTATTGTTAATGATACACACCAGCTCAGAGGTAACTCTGGATAAAACGGACTCTGCAGACATTAGAGCACCTGTGAGTCAGTTTCCTTGTACAGAACCGTTTTCCATACGTTACTGTGACTTCTGTAGATATATATATAAAAAGATCAGCGAAGCTTTAGCCACACAAGACTGATTTGTGTATTATTATTTCTCTGCTGTGATTGGTGGCACAAACAGTGGAACATTCCTGTCATAGTTGTCAATCATATTAAAGATTATGTGATATTTGTCAGTGAGAATGACTGTAAGATTTTAAAACCAGGCTAGTTTAAAAGTGAGTTTTTAAATATACAGTAATAGTATTTCAGTTATTTAAGCTTCCAGTATGTTGAAATGTAGTTATTAAATGTAACTTAAGATTTCAAATTGAAAATTAGACAGTCTGTAGCTGGGTGGGACTATGAGGTGACAGTCAGAGGTCCACAAATAAACTTATCTTATGTATAATTTTCATCTCGCTGCCACCAGCTTCAGGTTACAGCTAAATAACTACAACTACACTGTATTTTAAAATGTAATGTAACAAACAGTACTTTACTCATCCACTAAGAAAATCCAGGTCTGCTAAAGGATGAATGAGCGAGCTCCACTGAATGAGATGGAGCAGGGTATACTTAATGACTCTCCTCCCCTTCAGCTCAGGCCCTTTCACTGCAGCTGCTGAGTTTTTAAAGGTACATGTGCACTGTTACCCAGTCATACGGCTCTGCTCTTTACCTCCCCGTTGCCCTGGTGAGTCATAGTCATAGCCGAGGATCACTGATGATGCTTGTGCTAATTCATCATGCATGCACTCAGCTCAGAGCTAATGTACTCAGAGTTGATGGAGTTGGTTCTAGTCTCAGGGTTGGCCAAGATCAGTTTGTTAAAACTGCTTCCAGGAATACAGACTACTATTGGTAGTGTCTTTTATCCACAGACGTTTCCTTTGGTTAAAAATGGTTAGCAGTGATGCATCTTTGTGTTTTCAAGTGCTGAGTGTGCCAAGAAAAGTGCATACGAACAGAACACGTTTTCAGCTTTTATTTGAAATGTGACTTTACACAGGGAAACCTAATGTCATGTTTGGGGATATAAAAAAAAGTTCAATAACAAAAACGTTCACACAAAAGGTGTGCCGTGTCTTTTTGCAACATTCATTCTAGCTTCCCAATGAATCTGAGTATGAACAGAGGCACAACTCTTTAATAAATAGTTTCATTTACAGAATGAGTAATTGGCTATAAATAAGAAGGCGCATGTTGTTACTTTAAAGCAGCTATGAATGTATTGATTCATTTAAAAAAAGCAAACAGGCAGCGATGCAAATGACAGTGGGAAATGCAGAAACTGGCACAAAGATAAACAAAATTATGTTCAAACTCAAGTGAAAGGTTAAATTATAGGCACTAGTTTAAGAACAGCCACCACACCAAACACCTTCCCTAACACTGGCACACCATGCGTTTCCTTTTCATAGCACAAGAGGTCAGTGCCAGACAAAACTGAATTCAACTTGCTGTCTTGTTCAAGATATTTTTTCCCATTTTTTTTCATGGCACGAATGATACACACTGACACATTGTTTTGTGGGAATCTAATGAAGCACATCAAAGTTTTCTTCATTTCATTGGCCAAACGGGGACTAAACGCTGTCCAGCTCAGGTTTCTTTTTCAGTAGGTGGAGAGCTTTGAGCTGAAGTAAACACACCAATCTCAGCGCTTCAATGGAAAAGTGTAACCTTGGTAAACTGGTGCAAGTTAGACCTGAGGCTTTGGCCAAGGTGTCACTGATCACCCAGGTATCTCTTTAATCCTGATCTGACACTTTGAAAACCAAAAAAAGAAGGAAAAGGCTTTGGAGACATAGCTTGTAGTTGAGGTTCAAATTGTACTTTTAAACAACTGAAATCCTAAAACAAAATACTGATATGGATATATGAACTTACACTTCTTAAATAATTTGAATAAATATTTTCCAAATTGAACTTGTGCATACATTCTCGCTGATTTTTACAAGAGGAAAGATGCTTAAATCCCATAACCCACACAGAGGTGCTTTCACTTTTTCAAGACATCAACATTACAGGATAGTTCACCTGCACAGCATCATTGTAGAGATCACTCATCGACATGTGTTAAACACAGAGTGTAAAGAGAGAAATGTGTGGCAACATTTCAACCTGAGGGAGGAGAAAGAAGAAGCAGGAGGGAAGCCGGGCGACGTAGTGATGTGACTCTGACAGATGATCACAGACAAACTGAGGCAGGCATTGCGTCCTCTGGAGTTGGGCTGCTTTCTTTGGCATTTTCTGGGCTCTCTGCACTATATGCCTGACTCCTCCAGAGCCACTCCCCACAGAGGAGCATGATGGGAAGTCCTCTTTGACACAATGGCCTTTTTTTTAAAGTCTGAATTGTATATATTTTGGGACTTAGTCTCTTTCTCTCCATTGTAAAAGTTACCTAGGTAGATAAAGTGCCCTGTTGTAATGTCTGTCTCCTTGTGTTGACAGCTGGCCTGGAGAGCCCCCTGCTGGCTCACCTCAGTAACAACCTTCTCTCCAGTTGTCACCTGTGCCAGTGTCGGTCCGAGGAGCAGGTAGAGATCTAAGAAAGAGGAAAAAACACCGGTTAAACTGAGTCGACAGCAATATCTACCTGTGAGTGTGTCTGTGGTGTACATACCTGCGCACAGGCTGGGCCAGTCTGCTGCGGGGCAGGGGGATTCCTCCCCCTGCAGAAGCACTGGGGCGGGGCAGGCTGCTGCGTGGAGGAGCCAGAGAGCGGGTGGGGGTGGAGGTGACAGAGCCGGGGTTGGCTGTGGCCTTTACTGGCTGCCTCAAGGCCAGCGGGGATGGGGTAGCAGGAGTCCGCAGCTTACTGGGAGAGGGGACTGAAGACGGGCAGAGCAGGAAGAGACATGATGATGTTAGTCTAAATACACTTTGAGAGGGTTCAGTCTATCAGTAGATTGACCATGAATTAATGAACAAGAGCACAATGGTGTGAGGTAGATCTAAATGTGATGCTTGTATATGAAAAATCTATCTGACATATGGAAACGTATGTAGACCAATCACATCTAAATGAAGTCAAAGCTGTTATGATGAAAATGCAGAAAACTACAAAATGATTAGTGAAAAGACTGATAAATCGATGTCAGGCCAGCTAACAGAGCTTCCTACTGTGATTCGTGATGTGTTAACAGAATGAGGTGATACACACACATACAGCATGTACTAGTGAGAGCCAGCAACACAAGTCATAGCACAACATCGGTACAACCACAGCATGGAGCCACAGTCACAATAGTTAAAGGTGGAAGCCCTCAGTGAATACTCACTGAAATCACCTTCTTCTCCAAAGCAACAGGAGAGTGGGACTGGACAAAGACAACAGAAACAGAAACAGGCCTTAATTCAGAGAGGGAAGGGAGCGGCTGAAGATGGGCTTACAGCATGTCTGTAGGTCCGATCTGCCATGTGGCACATGCCTGAGACTGCAAATGAGCTGCTGAGGTTACGTGTAGAGCCCTGCAGGCTTAGCTGTGGACAGCGACGGGTCAGTGAGGGAGTCGGCAACGTGTATGGTGCACACTGCTGTGATTATTAAAACGGAGCTGCAGCTACGTCACTAACAGCTGGATGGGTCTACAGGGCTAGCACAGCGACACCAGAACTCCTGCTAAACACAACACTCCACTGCAGCTGAGTCTGTGCAGCTACTGTGAATCCATCAGGCGCCATTTCAAAACCCATATTGTTGGATATAAATAGACTTTATTAGGAACACCTGTACAGTCTAATGTAATCCAATAGAACTGTTCTGCCATAATGTCCACCTTTTTGACACTGTGATTTAACTTGTACATTTCTGACAATGTAACCAATAACGGAACATTATGAGGTTCATGTTAAGGTTGTGCTGTTGTTGTTGCACTGCATTAGATTGTATAGGTGCCCCTGAGTGTATTTTTGTGTAACCGAATCAAGGTGACAGAGCCAGATGTACAACACTATGTAGACAGTGGTTTCAGGAAGTTTTGGCCATTTACAACATATTACTGCACTATAGTTGTGTTTCTGATCCTCTGTGTCTGTTTTTATTTGATTTCATTTTGATTCCAATGCTTTGTCTTTGTCATCATTGATTTTAATGCTTATTATTTGTGATGTTACTGTTTTTCTTTGCCTATGTAAAGCACTTTGAGTTGCCTCTGTGTACAAAATTTACTAAATAAATAAAGCTGCGTTGCCTCTGCCTTTGTTTCGGTATGGTGGAATACCTGTGGTTACGCTGCCTCCCCTTAGAGACGGAGAAAGCACTGAATCGGTTTAAAGCAACTGTGTTGAAAATGGATGAGTTCTAAAGCATCTGACACAGAAATGGTGACATCTGCGGGCCATGTCCTCGGTACTGCATTTGTTAAGGACATCTGAAACTGAAAGTGATCTTAATGCTTTATTTTGTCGTATTACGGAAAGTGCTCAGTCATAAACAAACACAGTCAAAGGCTGTGACAAGTTGAAGCTTTGATTGAGATGCTCACGTAATGTTTCGCTCTGTGAATCAGGGTTTATACATTAATGCAACTTTCTCTGTCCATTTCCCATCTACTAATGTAAAAATCCTTGGTGTTACATTTTACAGTGACCTCACCTTGGATAAAGGTTACAAAAGTTAGTCATGTTTTTATCAACAGAGAAACATCTGCACAATCAGGTCTTCTCTCTCTGAACCAGATCCTGAGAAGGTCATACATTGTTTTCTATCATCTTGAGTAGACTATTGTAATTCACTGTATTCGGGGTTGAGCAAAAAAAAAAAGGTCATGGTTGGTAGAAAACAGCTGCTCAGCATTTAACAAATACAAGAACACGAGATCATTTCAGCCTCTCTTCACTGGTTACCAGACAAGACAAGATTTTATTGATTGTCTTTAATGTGCTTCATGGTCCAACTCCTAGCTCCATTCCTGTTGCTTCCCTACAAGGCACAGCATGGCCTCAGATCCTCAGGCACGACCCTTCTGGCAGTTCCTAAGTCCCAGCTCCAGACTAAAGGAGACCAGGCTTGTGCGGTCAGGGCCCCACAGCTCTGGAACTCTGAGACCTGTAGACTCACTGACATCTTTTAAATCACTTCTTAAAACGTATTTTTTAAAAGGCGTTTCAAAATTTTGTAGCATGCTGTTTTAATTTCTAACCTTGTTTTCTGTTTGTAATGCCACCGTTGCTTCTGCTGTCGTATTACATTCTAACATGTCTAATTTACGGCCTAATTCTGTTGCTTTGTGTCGTACTCCTGTTCTGAACCATGTAAAGCATTTAAACTATGCTTTAAAAAGTGCTGTATAAATCAAGTTGTTACTTCAGCTCCACACAATGTTATTTAATCATGCACACGCTATGTGCAACAGTAGCCTGCACCTTCAGTGAACTGGGCTGACTGTATATAGTACACCATAAATTGTACATACAGTGGGTACGGAAAGTATTCAGACCCCCTTAAATTTTTCACTCTTTGTTATATTGCAGCCATATGCTAAAATCATTTAAGTTCATTTTATTCCTCATTAATGTACACACAACACCCCATATTGACAGAAAAACACAGAATTTTTGACATTTTTGCAGATTTATTAAAAAAGAAAAACTGAAATATCACATGGTCATAAGTATTCAGACCCTTTGCACAGTATTTAGTAGAAGCAGCCTTTTGAGCTAATACAGCCATGAGTCTTTCTGGGAATGATGCAACAAGTTTTTCACACCTGCATTTGGGGATCCTCTGCCATTCCTCCTTGCAGATCCTCTCCAGTTCTGTCAGGTTGGATGGTAAACGTTGGTGGACAGCCATTTTCAGGTCTCTCCAGAGATGCTCAATTGGGTTTAAGTCAGGGCTCTGGCGGGGCCATTCAAGAACAGTCACAGAGTTGTTGTAAAGCCACTCCTTCGTTATTTTAGCTGTGTGCTTAGGGTCATTGTCTTGTTGGAAGGTGAACCTTCGGCCCAGTCTGAGGTCCTGAGCACTCTGGAGAAGGTGTTCGTCCAGGATATCCCTGTACTTGGCCGCATTCACCCTTCCCTCCATTGCAACCAGTCGTCCTGTCCCTGCAGCTGAAAAACACCCCCATAGCATGATGCTGCCACCACCATGCTTCACTGCTGGGACTGTATTGGACAGGTGATGAGCAGTGCCTGGTTTTCTCCACACATACCACTTAGAATTAAGGCCAAAAAGTTCTATCTTGGTCTCATCAGACCAGAGAATCTTATTTCTCACCATCTTGGAGTCCTTCAGGTGTTTTTTAGCAAACTCCAGGCAAGTACAGGGATATCCTGGACGAAAACCTTCTCCAGAGTGCTCGGGACCTCAGACTGGGCCGAAGGTTCACCTTCCAACAAGACAATGACCCTAAGCACACAGCTAAAATAACGAAGGAGTGGCTTCCCAACAACTCCGTGACTGTTCTTGAATGGCCCAGCCAGAGCCCTGACTTAAACCCCATTGAGCATCTCTGGAGAGACCTGAAAATGGCTGTCCACCAACGTTTACCATCCAACCTGACAGCACTGGAGAGGATCTGCAAGGAGGAATGGCAGAGGATCCCCAAATGCAGGTGTGAACTTGTTGCATCATTCCCAAAAAGACTCATGGCTGTATTAGCTCAAAAGGGTGCTTCTACTAAATACTGAGCAAAGGGTCTGAATACTTATGACCATGTGATATTTCAGTTTTTCTTTTTTAATAAATCTGCAAAAATGTCAAAAATTCTGTGTTTTTCTGTCAATATGGGGTGCTGTGTGTACATTAATGAGGAAAAAAATGAACTTAAATGATTTTAGCATATGGCTGCAATATAACAAAGAGTGAAAAATTTAAGGGGGTCTGAATACTTTCCGTACCCACTGTATGTCTGTGTGTGAGTTCGAGCTCAGACTCAGGCTGGTTTAGGGGCAGGCTGTTACCTCGCAGGGAAGTTGGGCTTTGGAGCTGCTGTTTGGGTTTCAGGGAGGAGCGAGAGGGGGTTGAGTATCTCGGGAATGGAGTTGCTGCTGGAAAACAGGCACATTTTGGCATGGGAGTCAGAGATTTACAGCATTAGTGGAGGAAAAAGGGGAAGCCGAAGCCTGAGGTGTAGTTTAAGGCCATTAGAACGCAGCTGGCCAAACACTAACAGGCAGCTTGTTTCATATGGAGAAACAACTGTGACAGCCAATCTACCAGTGTCAGCACAAACAGAAGAGATAACAGAAGTCAGTGAGAGGAGCAGAAATGTAGGTGTCTCACATACCCTCTACAGTCAAAGCTCAGACACACACACATACAACTATTTGATAGTAAACCTGTCAACTGTCTTTGTATCTTTTCAAACTATGCAAATAAAAATCTAAAGATTCATCTTAAAGCAAATGTCTCCTATAATGTATAACTAGTCCAAAGGTGCATGCAACATGATCCCCCTATGTCTCCAGGCTGGTTAAGGCAGGATAACTACATGTTTAACCTGCTGATAGTTGCCCTCTGTGCCCCTAGTAAAAAGGAGGGATTACTGTTTCTGGATTAAGGACAACCCCATTATTTTTATCTCCCATTACAAGACTATATCAAATGGACAGTCTTAACTGGTGATGCTAAGCTCTCAAAGAACATAACACTCTTGGACGCAAAGTGGAAAACAGTGTTAGTGTCACTGATAGGAAGAGCCGCTCTGGACTGTCAGTGCTGTTGCTGCAATGCTCTAATTCTCTAGGATGAGATTGTTTCTTTGAAGACAAAGTTGTGCCAAGACAATAAGAAGAAGGATGCATGTGAATAAAAGATGTTATAACTCAAAATTATCACAGACAACAGGGAACGGCTAACAGCAAAGCCATGGCACTATAAAGCAACACAGCCCTCCTACTGTAGGCACAGCCAGAGAATTCACAGATGACTAAGAAGAGATTACACAACCTGTCATGTTGCTGAATATTCAGTTTACTTGGAGAGCAAATACAGTATATTAATATAATGTCAAGCAGATAACAACAGTAGTGATAATGCTCAGTAATCAGTCAATAATGACTCAGACATTCTGAGACTGGTCACTGCTGAATCACAAAATCTGATTACAACTTTGGAAGATGTGTTTTTTGACGTGTGTCAGTCACAATACTCACTGGCAGACTGGCTCTGGTGTCGTGGAGAGCCGCCGTTTGGCACTTGCAGGTTGGACTCACAGCTACGGCTGTTCTTGACGGGCTCTGGAGCCTGGGCCGACACCACTGTGGAGCGTGTGAGGTTGGGAAGACTACGACGCAGCTTGTCTACACAGCAGGCACAGGAGAGAATTAGCTCAGGCAAAAAGACACTTCCCAGAATCCCAAGCACAAGCAGTGATGTCAAAAACCTTTCCCATCTTTGCTAGCTCTGTTTATCACCTTCATTCTTCACAGCATTGGTCTGAAGGTCATGACCGTGGCCTTGCAGCGAGTGGCGGGGGGGGTTGGTGAGGGGCTGTGGGGAGCCACGGCCGTGGCTATAGTCAATAGAACGAGCAGGGGAGCGTGAGCGGGGTGAATTTCTGGGGGAGGCACGAGGAGAGTGTCGAGGGGAGGGGCTGAAGCGGTTGGAGGGCAGGTGGAAGGCCGGGTGCATTGCCTCCTCCTCGTCCTCTAGACTATGTGCATCTAACTCCTGGTCACTGAAGGTGCTGCGCCGCAATGAGTTGCAGGAGGAGCCTGAGCTCCGTCTGGAGGCTGTTGCAGCGTAGTCCTGTCTCAAACCTGAAAATAAACAAGTGCAATATAAAAAAAGGACATCTGATTACAGGAAACTGAACACAAGAGATGACAGTGATACAGGTACGTACTCTCTTCCTGCATCCGTGCCATTATCTGCACATCAGTGACGTCATTGAGTTTGTAGGTAGTTGAGGAACCCACGGAGTCCTCGTCCATTTCTGAGGTACTCAGCTCACTGTCCACTGATGACTGTGGACTAACTGGTAGAGGGGTCCTCTCTGCTGCTGTGTTTCGCTGGTGTACTAGAGAGGAAATCATTTGTAAACACTGAAGTGACATGTTCAACAACAGATACTCTGTGACTGACAGTGAACTACAGAGTGACCCATACCTGCATTCCCAGGCATTAGCTGCTGTCTGACAATGGGCACTCTGCTGGGGGTCGAGGAGGGGGAGTTGAAGCCACTGTTGTAAGGACTGTTGGCTGTGTTTGTGCTATATGGACTTCCATAACCCTGCTGGTTGTTGGGGCTTCCATACAGGCTCCTGCGCTTGTTGGCTGTAGAGTCGCAGAACAGATGTCAAACACAAGTCCACATTACATGACAAATTCAGGAAACATCAAACGCACTTCAGATTTAGTCATGAAGTTTTTCAGTGTCCAATGTCTGAAGAGTCCAAAGTCCTTGCTGCACACACGTTCTCAGGCAGCTCATCCTACAGTACTGGATCCCGAACTGGTCCACAGCCACACCTTTGCACAGACTTAGAAACTGATTAACATTAGCCAAGTCATTTTTTACTTTGAAAAGCTCTATAGGCAGCTCTTTTTACACGCTACCTCCTACAGGGTAATGTCAGGATGGCTGTCCACAAGCTGGGTGATGCAGCAGGACAATGACCCTAAACACCAAAGTACATTTACTGCAGACTGGCTTCGGAAACTGTTTGGAGTGGCCCAGTCAGAGCCCAGACCTCAACCCAACAGAGATGCTGTGGAATGAAGTCAAGAGAGCTGTTCACACCAGACTTCCTAAGAATATGGCTGAGCTGAAGCAGTTCTGTAGGAAGAATGGTCCAAAATTCCTCCTGAACATTGTGCAGATCTGATCTACAGGTACAGGAAGAGCTTGGTTGAGGTTATAGAAGGCTGAGGTTCTGGTGGGAACAGATATACTGTAGGTGTCAGAGGACGGTGGAAATATTCTTCCTTTATGTGATTCACTGATGACTGGTGTTTAAAAAAAAAACTAATTTCTCCTCTCTCCAAGATTTTTTATTTCCATAGATGGAATCAGTCGTACAGAAAGATCTCTTAAAATCATTTGTTGAGATTGGTGTGATACCATAGATCTGGTAACAGCTAATGATTTGTAGATAACAAATTAGAGAAACACAACTAACAAGATGCTGCATTTGACATCGTTCTGCCTGTCCAGCATGCTAACATACTGTAGCTATGTAAACCCTGACGGAATCTGTTAGCCACCTCACCATTTGACTACAACGCCAGCAGTGTGTGCTCAGAGCCGGCGGCATTGTGAAAGCCCTACAGTGTGCTGGCAGTCCAGTCTAGCATCTTAAAGCATATGCTGAGTATGAGCCTGATAGAGTGTTTCTACATCATTAGCTGGGAGAAACACTCAACAATACAAGCCATTCAATCCATACGCACAGTTACCAAGAGCACAAAGCGACTGTCTGTGAAACCCAGCAAGGCAGCAGCCAGAAGCTCAAGTCGGACAGGCTGCGGGTCCGATTTAGTGGTTTGGATGGTTAGTGTCTCTGAGTGCACTTGTTTACACATCCCTCTGTTTCTCTCTCTGACTGGATGTGTTTACACAACTGGGTGGTGACTGGAAAGGACCTTTTTAAGATCAGCTACCTCCTCTTTCCGTTCACTTTATCCTTCTCCCGGTGCTCTGCACTCTGTCCTCCTGCATTATTTAGAAAACACCATCATGTCCACTCCGCTGCCATCTGATCGGTTACTGAGGAATGTCAACGGCACTGGGACATGTAGTTCTGTAACACCGTGTACTTTTTAACAAAGGATGCTGTGTTTGCTACTGAAAAACATCCTGTCAACAGATTATTTAAAAAAAATGGTTCACTTAGTGAAACTAACCCTGAATATCAGACACACTCACGATTAACCTGAAAACAAAGTAGTCAGCTACATGTCTGCCAAGCACAACTGTGTTCAAAATGCACCTAAAAGCCACTGACAAACATAAAGACACATTTCCACAAGTGTTAACAAATGTGAATCACCTGTGTATGTTTCTATGTACAGTACAGAGGACACACACTTTGATTAGAAAACTTTCCCTCTTGACACAACACGGCCTGTGCTGGGTCTAAGCCAGTTTAGGTGCAGCTGTAACCCGTATCACCCCAGCTAGGAGCTATGTGCATAACGGTACGGAGCTGGTTAGATGACAGGGTGTCCTATCACAGGAAACCAGCACATTGTCACGAGATTTAAAGGGATCTACAGCACAGGGACCAACCAAAATAGAGTGGCCTCAAAATCTCTGTCCTAAAACAAGAAGCGAAGTCAGAGCAAGGGAAAAGAACGGATGTTCCTACCTACTGTGATCTGTGATTGATATCTTTTTGATTTACTGTGATATGACTGTACTAAAAGTTTTCCATCTTGGGTTTTGAGCTGTGGAAACTACCCTGACGTTTCCACAAGGCAAAAAAAAAAAAAAAAAAAGACTAGCACAAAACATCCTGATACAGAATGAGGGCCAGTAGGGCTTAGATACTGAGAAGGAAATGAAAGACAAAGCTCGGTACTGAAGTCTACTTGATATAAAAATAAAATCAAGGAAAGAATTGCTTATAACAGCTGCAGAGCGCTTTGAGCAGACCACAAGAGAAGGAAAACAGAGAAGCTTTTGTAAACAAAAGAGATAAATACCACAAAGCAGAGAAAGGATCAAACTGGCAGAGACATGCATGAACCAAGTGTACAGTATGAAGGTGAAGAAAGGTCAGAGCCTTTGTGAGCAGAAACATGCGAGGTCGGCTATGAGACTGAGGCTGGAACCTCCTGGGTTTTGTATGTATCAACAGGACCAGACAGCTGTCAAAGCAGCACTAGGAAAAAACTGTTTCCGTGTTCATCTCTGGCTACACAAGTTCAGACTGCTATCAGGACTGTCTGACGTGAACCAAGAAGTGCTGTCTGACTGGTGCAGTCCGCTCGGGCAACAATCTCCTCCCTGCTGCTGGTTATACAACTGAGCCTCGTCGTCTGGGGATATGACTGAGGGTGTGCACGGAGAAAAGGCTTGGCCACTACTGACACATTAAATTTGCGTCATGTTCAAAATATGTGCATGTTGTGTATAAGCTGGAATAGACATAGACACCTTAACACCTATTGTCACTAAAGGTCATGTTTTAGGACAAGAGGAAGTCTTGAATTTAAGATTTATTTATTTATTTTTGCAATTCCTTTGACACAAACTCAACCAGCACCATGGCAACAGGGTTTCCATGCTCCTGTTAGAGACCGGGTGTGAAGCAGAGTAGCTGGGAGCCAGGAGGGTGTGTCTGCACCGAGCCTCTGTTTCACTCAGACACAAATGCTCTCAGCGTGTGCAGCTGAAGGTACACTCAAGTCTTTTTGTGTTTCTCTTTTGCACAGTGAAAAAGATCTCAACTCTTGACTAATGATGTCACCTTAACGCTCAATGTTTTCACCAGTGTCTCACAAGACTCCACAGAGGATTTGAATTGTTCTGTCCTTTTTGCAAGCCTTTGTGCAAGTGATGACAACATCAGCACCAAGGGAGGAGAGCGTGAGTGAGGTGGGTGATGTCAGTGACAAGGGGATATTTTCAGGCCCTTCCACACCTACGGTGATGATCAGAGGTCACACTAAACTTTCTCTCTGTCATGTTGACTGACAAGGTCATAAAAATTTTGTCAATTTAATTTTAATTGTTTAATGATAGGACATTTAATAGCATTTGTCATTCAATATACAGAACAAGCTTATGTGCAGCCACTTTTCATGTCAAAGCCACATAAAGCAGGTGACTTTAAACAATGCAGTTTTACCAAACTAGACAATAACCATTAAAATATAGACAACCCATTTATACAAAGTTAAGCTAACTGAACTGACCTGACCTGCTGTAGCCTGGCCTAATGATGACTAATGATGGCGACTGTCACTAGGTTTCTCACGGCCGTTAAAATTTGATCTGGAAGATGAATCTGCGCTCTGCTGCCGCACTGGAGACTAAACTTGCCAGCTCCACTTCAGCCAAAGTTTTGAAGTTGTGGAACATTTCTCTAGGGAAGTGATTAGAAGTTGCTCTGAACGTGAGATTTCCTGATCATAAATCACTCACTTCACCAGGAAGAATCCGCTACATACCCTCCTTCTGCACCAGAGGTGCAGCTGTATCCCTCTGTGAGCTGTAGTGGTCACAGACACGCTCTGTGGCCTCCAGTCTGTGGCTCATCAGTGGGCTGTCAGCTCCCAGATACCAAGGCACATTGAGGAGGTCTCAGTTGCCCTTCATCCACCACATCAGTTCCTCTTTTTTCACCTTGTTTATCAATGTCATAGCAATTATTGCTCTCTGTGTCCTAATTTGTCAAAATGGCCTTCAGATTTTTCCATCATTATTAAACAAAAATCTTGTCAATAACAGAAAATATTCAGTTAATGTAACCTCCAGTGATGATATTACCACCAAAGAACAGTTTCCCTAAGCCCCACTCATGTGGCTAATAGTCACTAATCAGTCAGCTGATGGACAGATGCCCTGATTTGATCAATACGGGTCATTTTAGGGTACAGTTACAAGCAGGTGTTGATGTCTAACTTTCAGTTTTTATTATAAATGTTTGCCTCTGAAATAAATCGAATCTGTAATCACACAAGTTACAGATTTTTGATTTCAATGAGATTCATCATCACTTAAGAAGGCAGCCC